CCTGTAAACCAAGGTTAGCACATTATTTTCTTCCCTAAAAGCCGTATGCTTCCTGTGATTGTCGAAATTTCAGGTTTATAAGTGTTTTCTGTGTTTGAAGCATTCTTCATCTGATTTGGGGTTAAGCTAAATAGCATTATAGAAATTTTTTTTTTAATCAAAAAAATGTATTTGCGTAAAAACTAGTAATTAGAGACGGGCTACTAAAACATATGGTCTCGTTTGAACGTTCATTTGTACAGTCATTTTTTTTTTTTAATAATGATAGCTTGCATTTACATTCATATTTCAGTCAGTTTTCGTGATCTGTCTTAAAGTCTTGCCAATGCATGCGTAGAAATTTTTGCCCGTTTCTCTTTATACAGAAAATCGGTAAGATTCAGAGAACGTTCAGTTAGACTCCAGCGGGGATGAATTCCTCATAAACAATTTGGAAAGCAGACATACACGGTAGCAGTCACATTATGCATTTTAAACTTCAGGGTCCAATTGTTCAAAGAGAGGATAACGCTATCAGATGGATAAATTGCTATCCAGTGGATAAGAGTTCACAAATCGTACGATGCTGTCTACAAGAAAGAGATTAATTCAGTGGATAGCGTTATCCACCCTTCAAATTACCGGGGCCAGTGCTTGAGTTTAGTCTATGCACAAGCAGAAACGATTTGCATCTTATACCAAAAATTTGTGACCACTTTTTTTAAGGTTTTATCTCTCTAGTCAAATGATATAGTTTAAACTTTGATCCTACTACTCTAAGGTAGCGAGTGTCTATGCTCTAATTTAGGTAACTTAACTAAAATAGATGAAGGTATCTAGAAATAATTAAATGGTTCGTGCAAATTATATCATCTTCTCACTTATTTATACCGTGACTACAAACTTTAATACACTGTCAAAAGGAGAAGCTGCGAGAATAGCAAAATATATTGTTCATACAGGTAACGTTAAATACATAGCACTTAGCAACAAAGAAATGGAAAGCATATATCAGATTGTCATGTATTAAGATCGTACAAAGTGGGATTCCGGTCTTGGGTGTGAAAGTTCGAACAATACTCATAGAGATCTGAAAGAACATTCTTAGTAAATGATAATGGCAGCTTTAATTTCTGACATAATCAAAAAAACATGAATTATTTACCTGATTTACTGAGAAGTAAATTAATAAAGTCAGAAAGTTGAAAACTCAAGCCAATGTGAGCTAATAGGACCTAAATTCAGGCCCCACCTCTTGGTCTGCCTTTACTGGATAAATCTGAACAGTGAGAACCAAAGAAAAATGATAATGAAGATAAAAAAAACTTGCATGACATTGACTCCAATCGTCTCTTTTTTTTTTATGCAAATCTGGCTCATTCCGTTAATGATTTTAGCAAACATCACGGCGTAGTGGTTACAAGACCGATGGCGGCGTTTCCTTTGCGGTCGGATCAGTGGAAGAATTATACTTAAAATCGAGTTTTCTCTTCAAAGAATCTAATAACTTGCGTTCTTAAGACTGAAATGAAAAAAATAGCTCTAAGTAATTAAGAACTACTGCATTTTTAAAGTCTATGACTCAGTGCCGGGCTTAAGTCGAATCGAAATGATCTGGCCCCGGTTGTTCGAAGATCGGATAACGCTATCTACTGTATAAATCTCTATCCGGTGGATAATGCTATACGTTTTGCTATCACTTATCCGCTGGATAGCGATTTATCTGTTGGATAGCGTTATCCACCCTTTATACAACTGGGCCCTGGAAATTAATGGCAAAGTTCAATGTGCGCTTGTTTTGCAAAAACGACTGTTATCATTTTCCAACCATAGCTAGTGTACTTGATATTATATACAGAATCCCCTGATCTGGTCAGAACTAATGTAAGTTGATTCTTATTCACATGTGGATCAAAGATGAATGTTGTTACAAGAGGGTCTCAATGGCGTGACAGCTTTTACAGCTTATAGTTAAAATTTTTTGCCATTTTACTGCCAACAGTTAGTCCGAAATGGCATTGAAGATAGGAAAAATTATTGACCGTCAACTTTTTTTTACGACTAAAGGTTAAAGTTTTTCCGGCAATTTTTTACGACTAACGGCGAAATTATTTTGCTGTTGTACGGCTAGTTACAACGGTTCACCCAATTGAGAATCTCTTATAACTTCACTCAGTAAGTACGCACACTGTAAGGACTGCTAAATTAAAAATTTTGTTTAAAATGAAATCCTCCCCCTCCATTTGAACGCAAAGATATAATAAATATTTTACTAAGATCGCAGTCGTTTCTATATTTTGCGCTCGGATTTATAACCCTCGTGCCTGGGCCATAAATCCGAGCGCAAAAAATCGGTCTATGACTTACTAGACGAACCTCAAAATCGGTTAGTCATCAGAATTATTTTATTCAAGTAAGCAGCCGCCGGTGCAATACTGAAGACCCAATCGATAGTAAAACATGTCCGTTCGGTTAAACCATGATTCTTGTGTCGTTTTTGTCTTTCAAAAGCTAAACAGCAGCACAGAAAGACTTTTCCAAGAAGATGCCATCATCAGGAATCTGATTGACGTTATCAACATCACTATATCCTTGAAGGTATCAAACTATGATTCTTTGATCACTTCTAGGGAACCTTAAAGAAAGCGTGGCAAAACCACGATCGATCTATTTCTGGTGCAAAAAGAAATCAAAGTGCTCTGTGAGCAAACTCGTGAATTGACACGTAGTTTAATGTAAGGTAATTGTGTGGTTGATTGTCATATCTAGAGTACGAGCAGTAGTTCAGTGTTCGCTAATGTAGCAAATAAACAAAGTAAAGTTGGTTTAAGAAGGCATTACAATTGAAATGATCATGCTATTACATTTGACAAGGGTGGGTGATGTCGTGTTTTAAACGTATATCATTTTTGTTTCTGGTTCAAAAGAAAAGGTTGGAAGTAAATGTGGGTGAAAAGTGAAATTTACTGTCTATCATTGTAAATAATAGAAGATCAAGGCAATACTGTCTTAATGAAACATTAACGATTCCCTCTTTATTAAATGAGACAAACGGGAACGAGTTTTGAGTGATATAACTAAGCCAAGACTGCCACCGTCATTTTGGATCTCCGCCTGGGTAGATTTTAGTCACGTGCTAGGCAACGTATAATCAAGAACAAGATAGAATTTGATTTCAGGCCTATTTATCAATTTTGTGGTGTATAACTTTCGCATTTTAGTACGTAATATTTATTTTGAATCTTCAAATTGTCTTGAAACTTAAAAGAAAATTGTTCCTTAAGAATTCACTGAAAATCGGTAGCTAAAATTGTTTGTTTAGGTGTTATTTTATTTTCGTGTTAACTTGTAATTTCGTCAGTCGCCGGCATCTTTTGTTGCTTCACACAGGAAAAACACACGATACGAAACGTAATGATCGATTTTTTCCTCAGTCTCACGCCATAACAGAAAAAGCTTTTGCACATCTGTAAACTTCGAGCGCTTCGCAGTAAATTATATTTTCAATGAATCTTCGGATTGTTTTCAAGTTCAAGGATTGTAAATTACAATTTTGTGAAAAGCGAAGGTTGATCTGTTATTTCAGTGTGAATCCTTGCATGCCTGCCAGTCGCTGGCGCCGCTTGTTGAAACTAAAACGAACCAAAAAAAAACCCTTGTAAGATTATCATTGGCTTCTTTTTCACCTCACCACTATTCTTAGCAACAAAGGTCGCCATTTCGTTCGTTTATTGCTCACCAAAAACTATCAAATGCACTCAAAAGCCTTAAGTTGAAAAAAAGTTTACAGGAATCGACCAATCGAGCGAGCGAGTGCCATTCTCCACATTATATCTACAACTCGCTCTTGCGCATGCGCGCAATTCACGAGTTAAAAAAGAACCTTCAAGATCACATTTGCTCTTTTCCCTGTGGACACTATAAGGACACCCTTAAATGACAATGATTGCCTGTTCAAAGTGATCATCATGGGATGGCGAGACTCCCGGTGGTCAGATTAAGAGGGTTATAGTACCATAATATTACTATCAATTATATTTTTTTCTTGTAGAAGATCAGTTCCTCAATGCAAAATTATAGGTTATGGTGCAAATACTCATTAAAATGCAAAGCATGATGAGGCAATCCGTAACTGGGCTGGACAAAATAAACTACCTCTCAGTAAATGAGTGCTCTGAATCCTAAAGGTTCCCTAAAGATGATATGGAACATAATTTTCTATCAGAAGTTATGAGGACTTTCCCATCTTTGTTTTCGATTTTTCATATTATTCTTATCGTGGTCGTCGTTGTCTCAACGAGGATCACACTGTCAATAATGCCCTTTTGAAATGGCTTATTAAATGTGATAAAATACATGTATACCATCAAAAAGTACTTTTAATGGAGATATCTGTGTATCTTTCAGCTAGAGAATGTGAGTGAGCTCCAAGGCCCCGTCGGACAACGCGGTTTTAATAGGCAAGGACCTGTTGGACCAGCCGGACCACGAGGATTCAATGGAACAAAGGGTATTTAGGGGGTAATAGGTTCACAGGGTATAAACGGTTCACAAGGACCACTAGGGCCACAGGGACCCAACGAGGCAGGAATCTTCTCCCAGTGTGAACACAAGACCAAGAAATTGACTGGAAGGCAAGCCCCAATCACCAGCAACAGTTTACTGATCCCAACTGTTATCCTGGGTGAACCAAGTGTAAGTAAATTTAAAAAAAGGAGATTCAAAACTATCATTGATGACAAAGTGTTAAGGGCTGGTTGTCCAACTTCTTTGCCAAATCTTAACGCAGATGAATTCCTGAGTCCTTAAATATAACTGACGCAATATGCCAAGATTGAATCATACATGCTTGCATGATTGGACTCTGCAAGTACGTTGAATGTAAACTTAGGTCGAGCTTCTTCATTTCAGTTTATTTCTTTCCTTAACAAAAAAAAAATTCTTCATAAAGCAAAAAAAAGAAAAGAAAAGAAAGGAATGGATGAAAAATATAAGAAATGTGATGAAAATAAACATGACCGGTCGAATATGTATTTCCCCTTTAATCAGTCTTACAATCCAACTTTACTTTTTACTCCAGGGTACGAAGATAGTTGGTGTCTCATGCACAACAGACTATGCTCAGCTTTATCTGCTCTCGACCGAAATAGACCCATCTAAGAATAATTAGTTGCTCTACTACTGCAACTGTTATGGTCATCATGGACGCCCTAGCTTCTATTCAGTGCGTCATGCATTACTGGGAATGTCCGTTGACCACATGAACCGAACCTTTCTGTAACCTGAGCTCATGCAGCGCCCAAACCATTAGCCCTGTTCAACTACTTATACCTTCCTCCCTGCATATATGCAATAAGTTTCAAACAAAGGCAATTGTTTTGACATTACTTTATTTTTTTTTCCTGTTCCATTGCTTTAAGCTAGTAAGTGCCACTTCCAATTCTGATTTAAATCACGGTGATTGCAATCTTATGCTACGTTTATTATGTCTTTTTTCTCTATATTTTTATTAATCATCTTTTTTTTTATGATTCAATATCACCTGACGCTTCATGGTTAAAGGTTATGGGAACATGCTCAGCCTCGGAGTCTGGGTCCTGAAACTTGCTGCATCTTGGGTCGTCTGGACCTGTTGGGTACTCACCAGTCCAGTACAGATACTGAATCCACACGTTCATTTTTGTGAACACTGAACGCTGATGTTTAACAGAGGAAACAGTTAGATAAATCGCAACCCTTAAATATTGTAGGCATTAGTTATCTTTCCGTTCATTTTATCCGTTTAACGTTTGGACTGCATGCGCGATCACATTCGATTTTGACATAATTTGGTACACGGCTTTAATTTATGACCCTTGTGGCTATGACAGGTAGCCAGTACTCCAATCTCATTCCGGGAAAAATTAACAATTATTTGTTTGAAAATGGAGGATAAAGGATAAGGCTGAAAAAAGATTGTTTCCTAATTACATAGCATCTACGAAGTTTTACAATGCCATTGTTTGCTCCAATTTCCTTCCTAAGCATCAGACAAAATATTATCTTGGCTTTAGTCACATCTAATTGCTTTTAAAAAACGGATCGGAAAAAATCCAATAAAAATGCATATGAAGGAAGAACCTTTTTTTACAGCTGAAAAGTACTTTAATTTAGACAAGTAAAACGCGAAATTTAACATTAAAAGATTAGTTTTTCTCTGCAATGGTGAATTAACGCTTGTGGAAAATTGCAAGCCTGGAGCACTTGGGGATTGTCTTTACTTTCGGATGCCCAAAAACTTCTCAGTCAAATCTAATAACTAAAGCTTACATCAAATTCCTTGCAGTTTTCGTGTGTTATGCGCGAGTCACTGGCTTTACAGGGAGTTTTGCTGTCAATCGGCATGGTCATTTCGTAGGTTCCAAATGGACTCCGGCATTCTTCTGCTCCAAGGAGTGTGTCATCACACGGGGAACCGCTGAGATAATGGCAGCACATCGGTTGAAAGCGGTTATCGTCCTTGCCCATACAGAAGAGAGAATCCTCTGAAAATTTGGGAAAAAAATATTTTACAAATAATTTGAAACCGGATGTCTACTATGCACAGACTTATCTAGGTTATAATAGAGGCGTTTTTTCAAAACGCTCCACGCTCCGTTTCATCACCGTTTACCAAAAGTATGCGTCGAAGAGCGAGAACGTATTGGTTTGGTCAGAGTCTAATCTCCGTTCTGTAGGATGTCACGCCTTGATGATAGCGTTGCGTGACGCCTGGAAGAAGGGCTTTCGTGAAATACAATGTGATGTTAGCCTTATCATTACTCACTGTTTCCTTTTGCTTTTTCTTTGTTGCATCCTTCGGTATTAGTGATTGCAAATCGGTCGAATTCTAATGTCCGCCATGATCCTAAAGGCTGCCGGAATTCCCTGACATTCCCGTTGCCATCTCTAAAGTAAGAGCCACTGAGATGTCTTAATTTAAGATAAACACTCGATGGGTAATCACCGCTTTGAGATTCGTCACCTTCTAGCTCAACGTACATCTGAAAAAGAGAAGACGAAAAAAGACAAAACAAAGCAAAAAATAATACAGATTAGTGTGAACATAACTTAATTCTTACAGACAGTTAGAAAACTTAGACTGAACGTTATCTTTCAAATTCTCCATTCGCACCAAGGCTTCAACATGTTTTAAAAATTTGTTTTGTTAAATCACGGCTTTACGCTGTTTTTCATTAAGAGTTCCTTAAACCGATGTTTGCCGACTTCAAATTAAGTGCACTGAAAATGCGTGTTTCTGACCAAATAAACTACATGGAAAATCTGGTTTTTCAGGTGTCTGTCTCTGATTTTCATTCAGTTACAAATACAGTTTAACACGGCTAAACTAACTATATTTTCCTGGTCTGAATGGAGTATAACAGAGTCGTTACGAGAATAACAACTTTGAAATACCATATGAACAGTTTGCTCACAATTCGCCATTAAGCTTTTGAGAGTCACCCCTGAAAGGAGAGCATCATGCCCAAAATTATGCTTATGTTTTTTCATTATGCTCCATTTAATAACTAAATTTAGGAGTGTTTGAGAGCCATGTGTGTTACTGAAGAGATTATAAACTGTATATAATTATTATTATGACATTATGGCCAGAGATATGTTAGCAAAATTTATTTGAGCCTAGTTATTACCTTCAAAAGGCGGACGTTATAACAGAGATCGCAGCTATCTGAAATTTTCAATGAAAACCTCGTAGTGCCCTTTTGAAGTTCGTCGAACATCTACAATAAACGAAGAAGAAACTATAAATAAACAGTTTTATAGCTCTCAAAGATGACATTTAATGCAGAGATTGCTTCAATAGAAATGACTGAACTAGCATATAAATATCTCCCACAGCAACAATCGAAAAAAGATAGCAAGCCAAAAAGAGAGCTGGCAAAGTTTTCTCAGAAAGACAAAATTAAAAATTAAAAAGTCGAATAAAGGAAATGAAATTTGTTTTTAACGAGGTTTTGACTGAATCCGAAGGGGCTAAACAACCAATAACCGAATGAACTACCGAACGGAAAATTAAAAAAACAAACAAACAAAAGGGAAAACAAGGAAATAGTTCAAAAAGCATCAACAGCAACATTAACAACTGCAAAAAAACAACAAATCTTTTACTGTAACAAAGATAAAAGAAATACTCCACATACCACGTTGTCTTTAGCACTGTCAAATGTCCATTTATGCGTGGTGACTGTGTGGCGGAATTTTGTGAAGCATCGCTGTCCCTTATTTTCGATATTATCGATTTCTTGAAGTGCTTTTGTAAGCTCTAAAACCCCTTTGAGATTTCCTGTTCCCTGCGCGGCTAGCACCGCTCGCCGTTCGAATTCTGCTAATTTTTCCTGAACAACCCATAGAGAGCGAAACTCGAAACCTTTGTACAATTGGTACAATTGTTGGGCAAATCCTGTTTCTATCTGCTGATAGGAAGTAAGTAAACCATCCAGAAACATCTGCTGTGTGCTTTCAGCGATGGGAGAATCTGAAAAGAAAATATACTATTATTAGGCCTTTGCTTTTTGTAAAATAGAAATGCACCATCTTGCTAATTAAACAGAAATTATTAAAAACAGCGGTTGTAAGTTGGATGAATCTGGAAAACGAACCTGTCACGTTTAATATTCGTTTTCCTGCTTATTTAAGGAGAGAGGATCATCAACAGGGAAAGCGTGAAGCGAAGTGGCCTTCAAGCTTAACTTGATGGGACATTTTGGCCAGAATGTATAGCCAAACATGTCCTTCTGCATGTGCACGACCATGCGTGCGATCATAGGCGCAAATATCATTGTTATAAAAAGAGGTAGCATGGACGCGATGTATAATCACAAAGATCCTTACCACCAGAGCTACCAAGGCTTTCGATTTCATTTGCTGTCTCTTCTAAGTTCGGAATGTCAAAGTTATGTCCACCGATTTCGTTATCCAAGTCCATGACTTTTGCTATGAGATCGATTCTTGCTGCACCAGCGATAAAAAATCGTTCGATCTGTTCTTGAAACTTTGCCGAGTTTCGGGGTTTTGACCTCTCATCCAGCAGGCAAACAAGGTCCGCTGCAAGTCCCTCTTTGTTCATTTCCAGATTAGCCTTTTTATAAGAAGGTAAAAAAAAATGTCATGAGCCGGATATAACTTGGGAAACAGCAATAAAGCTAGGGTCGAAGAAAGAGGCGCACAGACAAACACAAACACACAGAGTCCGAGAGACAAACAGAAAACAAAACAGGCAAAAGGGTAAAAAGAAAGACAAAGCAAATAAAACTCAACGATTAAATCAGTGCATAAACAAACAAACAACCAAACAACAAGCTATTAACAAACACAAACATTAGATATTGGAGATGCAGCATATCCATGTTTACCTGCATTACTTCAGGTACAGCAGCCACATCCATTTTGTCAAAATCCAATTCACTTGAGTCTTTTAGGGCAGCATAGTCCTTTCCAAATTTCAACCATTTTTCTACTTTATCCAAATTACCCTGAAGTTTGCCAAGGTCACATTTGCCAGCAAAATGCCCAATAACCCCGAGGGCTGATCCAAGGGCGGCGAAAGGATCCTTTCCCATTGCACCACTAAAGAATCCTGTTATTCCCTCAAGAATGACAAATAAGTCGTCGCTGTTAAACTTTGCTTTTTCGTACACGTCTGGAAGCATCGCTTTTGCTTCCAGCAGATTACTCTTCATGCTTGCCTCCAGCTCACCAATAGCCTAGTGCAACGAAGAGGAGACAAAAAAATTACTATATTAGTGCAAGAACAATTAGAATAAACTAATACAAATTAAGTATTATTTTCAGTCGCTTATCGTTGTTTACGTTATTTTTCAGAGAAAACGTCGCTGAAAAGCAATCACATGTACACGGCTTGGTTCCCCTGCGTATTTGCGTATTTTTATTTGTGTATTCATTATTTCCCCAACCGAAAAAAGAGCTTATTTCGCATTCGCTCTTGTCAGTATCGCGAAAACAGCCTTCACAATACTGCAACTTATAACATTTCATAAAGTTAAGATAAACTGGTATAATTTCATGACGAGAGAGAATGGAGTTAAATTGTTTATCTTTAAAACTCTTTACGATGACCAATTTACATTATTAACTCTTAATTACCCTGTTTTACTGTCCCACCGACACAGCGCCACAGTTTCTTTTGAAACTTAACCCCTTTATTTATTAATTTGTAAAAGATTGAAGTAAACCAAGGAAGTTCAAGTAGGATAGCAGAAGTTTATCCGGGACTGCGTAGCATGAAGCAACTAGGGGTAATGCCACGCCCAATGGACTGGATGCTATGTCATTGCAGGTTACCCTTCATCAATACGTCTGGCTTCGCTAATACTTCACTGGTGCTATTTGGTGGAGAGAAGTACTTTTAAAATGAAATGTTTTCATCAAGATTGACCAGCTTTGTCTTGAACTCAGACCTCGCCGCCCGACCAGCGCGTTTTCCGTAAGGCCTTTGATTTTCCAACAAAAGGCTAAAGGACTAAGCTCCACCTTATTTCGAAGCTATACTCCCACGTGTAGAGTCGAGGCATCTGGTCAGATCAGAATACCTGTTCGTTAGTTGTTTCCCTTTGAAATAAAAGTTTTAGAGAAAGACAGGACGCCGTATGGAATGCCGACGTTGACAACATTCGCTTTCGAAAGTATTTTGATTCAGAGTGTTTCAAGTAAAGATCGCCGGTATAGCATTATTCACCTTAGAAAAATGTAAGAGGGAATACCAGTTGGAGATCTCAGTTTCACAGGTTGGTACTCTCTCGTTAAGAAATCGTTATATATTCGACAATGAGGTTTCGACTCTTACCAATACATATGCTCCCTTTTCGCTTACTGCTATTCGTTTGGCCTCAACCAGTCTGTTCTTTTGCTTTACAACTTGAAGTCTGGCAGCCTGTGGTAGTGCCTTTACTATTGCCTTAACGTCATCCTGCCGTTTAATCGATTCTTTGATAGCATTGTAGGCGTTCTCAAACGTTTCTGCACGATCTTTGATGACTTCGACCTGTTTCTTGAAGGCCTCCCATTTGATAATAGGTGCGAACAGCTGGTTCTTTCCAAATCTGTCATATCCTACTTTGTTCATAAAAGCCAGTCTTCTCTTTGCCACTAAGAAATATTCCAAACAAATGATAAGGAAGATTACTTCCTTAGATTTTCTGATAACTATTCACCTTTTTCAAGCTGTGCCTCCACATTTTAAGGTCATCCGTTTTATATTACTGTACAAACGTAAGGCAACATGGAATCTATTTGTGAATTATACGTATTTATTGCCGGGCTGGGATCATGTCTTTCGAAAATAGAGTTATCAGCTAATTTCTTTTCTGTAGTTTCTTTTAATGTAGTACATTAAACGAAAATATATTTGAAAATGCCGAACCTCTTCTCAATTCAGACGCTCCAGGTTTGCCATTTGACAATTTTACAACAAATTTGAACACAGCGTCGCTTTTTTTAACATCGTTGGCCCAGAGAAGGTCTTCACCATATCTTGTCATCATCTTTATTAACTGCAGAGGATACTTTTTCAATTGCTTTGGACCCAAACCAAATTTCTGAAGATAAGAACTTTCCACCTGACCATTGGAGCCTTTTGCTACGAGATCTTAAAAGTAAAATCGTAACAAAATTGAAAGGTGTTTAATATGCATTTGAAGCACAAACTTTAGACAGAAGCTAGTGTTCTAGCATTGCCCCACAAATTACAAAATTTGGAAGGAACCTTCCTTCCCTTTCCCTTCTCATTGCAGTGTTGTTGAACACAAGACCTCAAAACATTTCATTTCAGTTTTATTTCCCGAGCAAACACCACAAGTTTAGATAGGAAGAAGGGGAACGCTTAAACTTAAAACAGCGTTCTACTCTTTTCTCACGTGTTAAAATAATTGACAGAATTCTTTGAAAAAAGACCAACAAAGTGCTCTCGCTCCCTTCCTTTCTCGTTCTTGGCAAATTCATTCCGTACGAGACTATATTATGATATTTCAAGATTTTCAAGCCGGAAATGGGAGGGGAGCCATAACTTGGGAACCTTGTTCCATTTTAAGGGAGGGGAAGACCGTCTTAAATTCAATTAAATAATAAATAAATAAACAAATAAAAACCTTGTCCGTTGCTTCCGCTTCTTCCAGTTGCTCCGCGAGCGGCCTCGCCAGTTTGTCCGGATGATTCACACCAATAACGTCGTCCACAGTTAGCAATTCCAAATCGAAATCCAATTCCGCAAAACATAAACCTCCTTCTACACTTTATTCCGCGGCCACCACGTCCTCCTAAACCACCTGAAAACAACAATTTCTGTCAGTTTATCAAACTATTCGTTGTTCTGTCGATACTTCTGTAAGGTGATCCGCCCATCTATCAATTGGTCATCAATCCACTTTCAATCCAGCCTCGTCAGATTCCTTTGCGGGAATAAAGAATCCTCTAAACTTTGCCCCTCTCCCAACATGCACTTGAGAGGCACGGATTCCAGTCCAGTCTAAGCCTGAATTTCTCACCCTTCTTTTCTGACTGATTGCAGCTAATTTTTGAGGATCACACCTTCTCTTGACTGTATTTCGCTGGTTAAAACATGATTATTGAAAAAACTTAGTATAGCGCCATAGAAAAACGAAGGCAATATCTATTAGTCGCGTTACTCGTTTTATTTGGAGTTATCGACAAAGAGTAACACCAAGTCGCATACTTCGTGCGACAATTAGAATAACAACTTGTCGACGCCAGGATTACAAATTATTATGTAATTGCCTTTGTTCGTGGTTTTCGTGGTGTTTCATCCGACCAATGATGTTTATTCTATCAAAGTGATAGGAAAAAAAAAAGAAAAAAAAAGTCGGCAGATAATTGTTTCCTTGTGCAAAATTTTATTAATGAAGAATTTCTGAGTCCTTACCGGCTCCTCCTAATCCGTTTATTGCCGGCTGCCCTCCAGTCCCACGACAAGATGTTAATTCGATTTTCCCTCTCACTTTCAAAACATGAAGAGTTTGATGGCCTGCATCACCACCATTTCCTGTTGTTCAATTAAACAGGTGAGGGACATAAGTAAATGCAGTGCAATTAAATGGTGATTGCTACTGTTTATAACACAGTCAGTTCGTGTACAAGTAATCAAAGTCAACAGCACGAGTGCCTAAGGTTTCCATTGTGCGCGGGGTACAGTAAAAACGTGCGTGTGCATGGCAGGGGAATTACAATATTAGACATATTTCACTGCTGCATGGAAAAAGCAATGAAAGAATTAGTTCACGTATCTGCTGCGTGTTAATCTAGATATGAAGCACTTGAGAAAATTGGAGAGTACCTAAGAGGCTGAAATCAATTGCTCGAAGAGCAGTCAATTGTTACGCATCTTTCGTGCTCTCCAAACCTCCGGTGTGTTCGCTACATCTCATCAAACGCACGCCGAACCAATTTTTTTTATGTGGATAATTTGGTTTTATCATATAAACTAGGATGTTATACAAGGATTTCCAGCCCTGAGAAAAGCCGTAACAACACAAGTGAAAAAATATCGTGTTTTTTTCTTGTGTATTTGGCATGCCCAATCAGCTGCTAACACGTCACTCGCCTTTCGCACCACTCGGTCAGGTTGATAAATGAAAAATCCGTATCACTTACAGACAATGACGTTCAAACTTTTCTATAAGGGGGATAAAACCAAAATACGGAAACGTTTTCAGTGGCCTTGGTGATGGCATTTCTCGCGGCTGAGAAGGAAAGTCGACAACTGGAAGATTTTCCACACGCCGATTTGGGCCGTTTACTTAAAGGTTTATTCTGTCGGTAGGGACCAAGTTAGTACATGAGAATTTTGTGTATTGAAAATTACACCCATTGTTTGTTTTTGAAGTGTTTCAACACATTTTCTCATTTTGAGCCTTAGCGCCAACGCAATTAACGATTTTTCTTCGGGGATTGTCGATCCTTTTATTTTCATTTATTAATATAAAGTTGAATTTTCCTGTCAGTAAAAGGCTATTGTGTTTCTATGCATGTAGATATGGAATTTCTCTTCTCGTGTTTGAATACTCATAGAGAAACTTTATCTCGACGCGCGCCATGTATTGTTCTCTTTGTATCAACTGAATTGAAAATGGAAATTGGCCACCGTAAAGAATTTCTAAAGCTAACGTTTCAAGTATTAGCTGTTCATAATTCCCTCTAAAAAAGGACGAACGTTCGAAACGTCAGCTTTAGAAATTCTTTGCGGTGACCAATTTCCATTATCAACTCAGTTGATAAAACCAAATTATCTTGTTAATCCCCAAACTGACGCAGCACCACAATTTCTTAAGAAACTTACTCCCAACCGCGTGTAGTTGCGGCGTCGGGAAAGGAACTAACCCTAACTGTCCAAAAATTGTCAATAACAATTGACAATTTTTGGACAAATAGGTTAATCTTTGGAAACTCAAGAGAAAAAAATTAATTTACTCTATTATGGTGGGAATTTAAAATAAATTATGAAAGTTTCAGTTTTACCTGATTTCCCACCGTCTCCACCATTGGCTCCATTTCCGCCTGATATACCTGGTCTCCCCGGAATGTGACTAGTGCAGCCAGTCCTTGTTCTACCTGCTTTGCAGTCAGAGTTTGTCCTGTCCGGTTGCTGTTTGAATAGTAAAGTTAGAAAAAGTACCGATTGAAAATCGGAAAACAAAAACTCCACTGTTAGAGTAAATATCCGTTAAATCATTAATAGCAATTCTCAAAGTTAACAATTTGTTTCATTTTTTTCGTGATGAAAGCTTCGTAGCCTGACGAATTATCATAAGTAGGGGACCTGTCGTTATTCATCGCCTGGGTGGGGGAGGGGGGAGGGGGCTGGAAGAGTTGGTTTTGACTCGATAAAATTTACCTGATCCCCCACAAGCTCTTCAATTCTTATCCCCCCCTTCCGAAATCCTCTGCCCTCTCCTGCCCCCTCAGTCTCCTCCAGGCGATAAATAATGACTTTCCCTTAGTTTTTCTATATCATGCATATCTATAAATAATATACCTTATGCATGCTGTCGGCTGCCTTTCTTCCATTCGCGCCATTTTGCCCCGGGTTTCCATTTCCGCCACTTGTTATAATATTTACATGGCCAGCAATCATTTTCGCGTAGACTGTGACTATCAAAGACAAATAAAAAAAAAGAAATATAAAAAAATCGCGTTGCATAACCCAAAAGTGCGACAATTTGTGACCCCATTCTAGTGACTCTGTTGAAATAGTAACCCCATTACACTCAACCCTGTCGTGAAAGTGCGATCCCATCCAGCAGTACATCCCTATAAGCCTATTTCTAGAGAGTAAACCTCGGGATTTGGTACCTCTCGACCCCCACACTAATGACATTTGGTCCTGACCCACACAAGCCACATACGAAAAAGGGCAGAAGATAATAGCCTTGAATTTCCGGCAGTCCTTAACTCACCTGTTGGACCATGAACTCCATGCTTCCCATCATCTCCATCGGAACCAGGAGACAGAATGTTAAAATTTTGCACTAGTTTGGGAGCTCTGAGGTCCAATTGACTGTCTTTCGAAAAAACCATCTTTCGGCTGAATATCGTCAATCTTTTAATACCACGCAGATCCACGTAACCCTGTGGGAAACAAGCAGAGTAATTCCTTACATGTAAATCGAAACCGCCCTAAGGTACGTCAATGTAATTTAACTTGTAAAAATACTCTTTCTTATTTTTGTTTGAGCTCTATTGGACATTCTGAACGGAAACGCTTTTTCGATTGAGTGTCAGAAACCAAAACTAATAAAAAGCGATCTCAACGGTCAATTAAATGGCCTCGATTCCTACAATTTTTTTCTTCATCCAACTGTTATTCGTAGGGGTCTCGGAAACATAGGGGTTCAGTTTTACTGATTGAAATGGTTTCCACTTTTTCGTTTCGTAAACATATTAATTTATGTTCGTTTTCTATGTTGAGTATGTTTCTGAATCCACTTTACTTGAAAGTATGGTGGGTTTCTGATGTCAAATACTGCAATCAGTTGCAATATAATCTGCGTTGAAGAAGTTTTATTTGTGGGGTGTCCAGTTTTTATATGACACCCTTACATCGCGCTGGGCAGTAATTTTAATTTAGTGGTTATCGTTAAGAAGATTACAAGTATGCAGAAAAAAACTTTGTGTTTTCTCCGGTTGTCTCTTTATTAACGGGTCATGCGCAACAATCAACATCTGTTCTTGAGATCTTCTAGGTTTTTATCGCCACTGAATGTTGGACGGATACGAATTGAAACAAACTGGGAACAAATCGTCTGAATTTAGTACGAATCGAATGAGTACGAAAGGTTTTTGGGAACAAACGAATGGGTATCACTGAGAAAACAAATTTCCCTTATCCCTTTCCTTAAAGTTAACTGTAAAAGTACCTACCTTAACATATACAGTATCAGTTAGAATTTGAAGCTCAATTCTATTGGCTCGCTCCTGGGTATGTCCAAAGGTTACTTCTCTTTTTGTACGAAGATGCTCTTGAACGTAATCCATGTGGACATTCCGACCAAGTACTTGATAACGGTCTGTGATTTGTTTCAAGGTATTAAAAAAATGTGTAAATAGATCAAGGTACTGTCTAAGATTGTTGATGATAACCATGTACCATGGAGAAATTCCTCGTTATTTATCTTATCATTAATAGGGATCATTAATCACCTTAGGGAGGAGGGGCGCGGAGTAATTTCAAGGGGGTAGGAAGGGGGGGTCATTCGTCGCCAACATAATGAAGGGGGATTACAGAAAATCGACTGCCAACGAGAGAGGATCATAACGATATTATAGAGCCTTGGGGAGGGGGAAATCAGGTAAATTTGATGATCACACAACCACCTGTTTCCAACCCCTCTCCCCCCCCCCCCCCGTTAAATAATGACCGTTGACCGTTCTCTTACCTGAGAGAACACAGCCGTAAAACTCAGCTCTCATGGAAATATGTTCATTCCATGTTTTTGGTTTTATTTGGACATATCGAGCTATGATTGGTTGCAACAAGACATGGGTAACCACGGTGTTCTGATCTGCATTACCATTAAAAACCTGGAAAATAAAAGGAACAATTCATGTGACTTAACAAGGAATTCAGATTACGTCCGCAAAGACAATCGCTGGCAAAAAAAAAAAAGAAACCTTAGCGAATTTCAACAAAGATCGATGCATGCACCGTTGGTGATATTTTACGGAGATTCCAGCGCCATAGAACCTCAACTTTCAGCTCTTAAAACCATTCACAGCTGTTTTTAGGGAGGAGAGTGAGACTGGCTGACTTACTTATGAACGACTAGAAGCGTGGGGAAAGACCGCTAATTAGAGTTACTAAACAATTCGAATGAAAACGTCAGCTATGTTTACATATGGCTGAGAATCAATGACAAGGCGGATGTGTTACACATGCAGACACAAATTTAAAATAGAGATAAGCAGACACGAAATCAGTGGCGATATGTCTTATGAAATGTGACCCTCATTATTAAAACTAAATAAAAATTACATAAACATTCCAAAGCTCCTTAGAGCCCTCGCTACGTAAGCTGCAACATGAAGGACACCACTGCACCTTATCCACTTCATTCTCTTGATAGGCCTGAAAAACGTTACTGCCATCCGCGCTGTAAGCGAAAGTATAACTTTTCACCCATTGGTTGCCGTAGTCATTACGTCCCTGAGTCGCAAGCTTTGTAATTTTCACATTTCGTCCGAAATCGATTTGAAGCCACTGATTGAGATCATTGCTTCCCGCTGACCAAGCGCTTTTTTTACCTCGGGCAGCTTGGTGGTTTAGTCGGGCGTTCTGTTCACCGGTTGCCTTACCCCAGGAGGATGAAGCGGTAATCTGCTGATCTGTAATGAGACCGCTCTCTAGCCCAAGTGCTTCCTCGCCCGAACACGCTAATGAGAGAGTTCAAAATAAGTAGTTAGGGCAACGTATCGAGTTAATTTTGTAAGTAGACCAGGTTTTTGCTGAGAGAAATCAACTGTTGATATTCTCTTGTTTTTGCTAAATTTTCATTCTTATTGGTCTAGTAGACATGAGGAACCAGTCATTATTTATTGTCTGGGGTGGAAGATTTTTAGTTGTGTCACGATAAAATTTTTAACTGATCCCCCATCAAAGCTCTGTAATGTTCTTATGATCCTACCCCCGCCCCTGCAAAGTGATAAATGATCACTAGTCTCCTTGTCCAGGAGACATATCCCACTATCTCACTGAACAAACCCTCGAATATTACGTAAAATTAAAGCTAATCTTGTCTCGGTCTGTCTCTTCCTTGCTTTAGGAACTGCTCGTTCTCACCTTTTTTTCTCATAGACTCAATACGATAATAATATGTATATATGACAACAACTATATATATGTTTGATAAATTCATTACCAGCTTCAAGTTTAACGACTGCCGGCGTCTCAAACCAATTCATTGGAGAGTATTTTACTGTCCCGTCAAAAGATTGATCCCCATACGTCAATTTCGCACATCCTTCATCTATAAAATATAAACACAACTGTTTTTAAGAAACAATGCACTTGAAACTGTAATAAAATATCTTTAAACCGACTCTGGACTATAACACTCTAATCCACGAATCTTAATTTAGATGCTACGCAGTTCATACAGAAAGTCGCTCTTTAGCTCGACTACCGAAACACACCTTGACTTGAAAACTTCGTGGTCTCTTGTACACTTGTACATAAATGTTAGAAACGCCGTTCAGTCCTTTTCTTACAAAATATTTAATTTTAATCTCTTCTATCAGCAAGCATTCTAACAACAATAAATTTTACATCCTTTCTGTAAGTTCTAAGTCCGACATTTTTTTTCGTGTTGGATTCAATTCGTGTTTAAAGTTCATTATTTTAGTCTTTTCACCCTGTAATTAGCCAACGTTTATACTTATTGTTTCGTTAGCGCCTTTTTCGTCATTTAATTGTCACCCTATCGCCGCATTTTTTAGCAGTATGCCCGTTTTCTCGTTTTCGCGCTAGGCGTATTTCAGTAACGTACCGCTTTTTTCGGTCGTCCTTTCCATTTTCTTTTTTTTTGGCCTAGCAGTTTTGCAATAGCAGTATCAATCTTGGTCTTTTCTGTGGCCGTAACAATGTAAGTTTTTTATGGTCCTCTTTCCGTCCTGTTGTTTGCTATTTCTTTCTATCGTATATTGTGTGACTTTTGTGATTGTTTTTATTTGAATTTACTTCTATGTGTTACACGCTAAAATCAAAATTCATCGAAATCTATATGCATGGCGAAACCGATTGGTTTAGGAACCATCATAACGATTGCTATGATAACTTATAACTTATTATTTAAGATATTGGAATGTTTCTCCAGCGACCTCTTTAAGCAGGTAGAGGAGATAAAGAGACTAAAAGAATGACTAATTAGGAATGATATTGGCTGCACTGAGAAAATCAAAACATTGCTAAGTTTTTTTTTTCTTTCTTTTCTTACTTAGTGACCCACTTTCCTTTTTTTTCCCATTTTACTCTTTTTTCTGTGTACATAAACACTATAGATGAACGTGTTCAGATTGAAAAATGTGGGAAATTTAAGAGAAATAAGGACTCGAACTCAAAAGATAAAGCTAAGCAAACTTAAGCAATGACTTCTCAAAAAAAGAAAAATCAACTTATTGGAATGGTTCCTAGCCTAAAACGTTGATGCTTCAGATATCTTACCACTGATTTAAAAGGGACCACCAACACCTAGAATTTGAATGACGAATGAACACTTTTTTTTATTCATAGAAACGAAGCTAGAAACTGACCTTGTCCACTTGTCAAATGCAAGATTGCGAGAAAAAGAAACCCCAACAGATTCTTGGAAGGATTCATGAAAATTCGTTTACTCCTTGGTTCCGATTCTTTACTTTACACAGTCTAATCGGTTTCTTTTCGAAATGCCACCAACTGCGCGCGACTTCAATAATGAACTGAGGCAGGTGATGCTACTGACAACTGCTATAAGAATCAGTTGAGTCATCGGAATTACCTCAATAAAGTGAAATTCTTACCTGTCGTGTTTCTGACAGGTTTTGTACGGGTGACCAAAGCATATCCAAATTTTATAACACTTAAGTTACATCCCGAAAACCCAACTTTCTTTCATTAAAATTATTTTGACCTAAGTGATACAATGTGATATAGAAACAACACCATCGTATGTTTGTAAAGACATATTTTTTGTGATGCCACCCAGCAGATGAAAGTCCGCAATACTTGTACATTAAGGGGCATAGCCACGGGGGGGAGGATCACCTTGAATTTCCTGACAAGTTCATTGAAATGGTTAAATATTATGACAGAACTAACTAAGAAACGTAATTTCGTTTCGTCATAATTAATACAAAATCGCTAGCAGATCGATCGGTGTTATCCAGAAACCTTGTTAGATTAATTTCCTAGAAGGGCTGTTAGGTCATTTGCAAACAACTCCACCTTAATCTGTTTCTTATCTATTCTGTTCTGCTACGTTTTGAAGTCCTTAACATCGAAATCTCTTACTTTAACTTCACAAAAAAGAAAGCGGAATCAAGTTATTTGCAACGAAGCTCCTTGTTCCCTCCAAACCATTTTAAGATCGGAAAGAGACCAGACAGCTAGTTCGGATCGAAGCCAGTGGCGCCTGGTCAGTTTTCAGTTTGATTGAAATGATAACTGACTGATTTGTGAATGGCAGCCTGGTTCAATGTAATTAACTCGCAGAGCCCTCTAAACCTAGATTATTCCTATAAAATGAGTCACAACCTATATTTATTTTAGTTTTGTTTCCTTCGATACATTCTGACACTCAGCTTCATAAATATTTACTTGTTTTACCACACCATAATCGAGAAGTCAAGGTTAAGATGTTTTTTCATTTTGATACAAATGGATTTTTTTCTTTGTTTTTCAAAACAATAATAACTATTAAAGAAATATGTCACTCGTCTCCTTTTCTTTTGTCCCAGGCTCGATACAAGATGGATCTTTTATTACCTTACTGAACTCAATATTTTTACTTTAATTTTTTTTTCTTAGAAGGTACAGTGACGCATCCTGCAATCTGATTGGTTCTTAGCGCGGTCCGTATTTTCCTATCTCTGTCCACGGGCGCGGTAACGCTTTCGTGAGTCGCCGAGTACATCCCTACTTTCGTTGCCATTTTCCATAAACATATCTCGTTTAGCCGGCTGGGCAGTATTTTTAAGAAAAAGACGTCGGTCATTACATTAAGGCTATAAATAACTTATTAATTCTCTCTTTTCTTTCTCTCAAATCACTTTCATTGGTTAACAGAAAAATATTGGTTTCGAAATGAATTTGTATATGCAAGTGTCATTAAAATGGTTGAGAAGTGGCCTAAAAAACCGTCTATCATTAATTTTAATCCTTCACAAAGAGTACCAAGAAAGTTAGTACGTGAGGTCTTTGTTTGCAATTGAATTAATCGATGGACCTTTCATTCATCTAATATCCGAATTCTCTCAAACAATTTGTTCGTAGTGAAAGGGCGAGCGAAGTTTTCAGTTCTACCACGAGCACGCTTTCGGTGAGTCTTTCCAAGTCCGTTCAATTTGCACAACAGAAACTGAAGGAATTCAATGAGAAAAAGCATTAAATACCTTTGTGTTTAGTTGAATTGTCAAATTCAGTTTTTGTGAAGGAAAGATCAGGTTTACACTCGCCATTGCAGCAAACAAACGACCAAACCCTCACAACTTCAAAAAATTTGAATTTGCTCATAAATACTTTCCTTGCCATTTACTTACTTAACAGAGATAAATCTTCGTACATTAATTAATCGTCGATTAGAGTAAATATTACTTTCCGTAATATCATTGACTGTTTTTGAAGAAAATATTGTCGTGACAGTCCTTGCCAAACTGGTTCCCTCATTTTTTTCAAAAGTGTACTCGCACTCTTTTTTTTTACGCGCTTTCTAATTGACAGGTGTCAGATTGTGACAGGTACTTGTAAAAATAATACTTGGCTTCATACTAGAGCTTGTAAGTAAAATCCAAGTGCACTTGGAACCTACTTTGAATTTGAAGGGGTAAAATGTACTTACTTGAACTTTACTTAGCGACCATGGAAACGTTCGTAGTTCAAAGAACCCGAAGTACGCCGCCAAGTATGATCTTCACCAAACTTGACAACACACTTGACCAATAGGAAATGGAAGCCATCTATTTTCCACGAGCAGCGGTGCCACGATTCTGATGAACTGACAGATAAAATTTTTCTAAATTTAACTTGCCTGCGCGCTCAAAATGGATGGTTTCAGGTACTCATACTCTCATAGTGTGAGAACTCCTTGATGAAACATTCTTATATGTAAGTATACTTAAAGAAAAGAAAGAACAGTCGATATAAATGGCTAAGCTAGCAATCCTATTTGACTTTTATTTTCAGAGACGGCCTAAACCACAGATTTTTGTTTTATCCAGCAACAGATGCGAATCGGCAACTGAACCAGCCAGTGTCTCCAGCAGGTCATTTCTTCGCAACTCAACAACTTCAACAAGTACAACTTGCTGCAGCGAATGTTCCAAACAGCCCATGTACGGGTCAGGAATTGTCCAAAGGACAAGTACGGGGAAAACAAGAAACAGAAACCAAAGCGGCTGACTGGTCTGTTGAGGAGACAAAAGAGCTCTACGCCTAAGCTCCTCGTTTTGAAAGACTGAAACGAGCTTCCAACAAAGTACGCACAGCATTTTGGAATGAGATTTTCGAGGAATTCAAGGACAGCTGTGATGAAAATGAGCGTACTTTCCCAAAAGTGAAGAAAAGACAGCAAAATTTGAAATACGAATTCACGCAGCATAAGCTCAAAGCACGCAAAACTGGTGAAGAGGGCCTTAATGACATCAAGGAGAACTCTTCTTATTACAGTATTTTTTATCAAACTATGGGCAACCGAGACAGCGTAGATCCCGCCCAGATGGAAATTGAAAGTTCTTCATTCATACTAAGTACCTTCATACCTTCAACAAGTGCTGGTGTGAAACGCGGCCGCAGTGATGTGCGTGGTGAGGAATCACGGAAGAAGAAACTTGGAAAAGTGACGAAGCTAATGCGACAGATGACTGAAATGCATTCAAAGAAATGTGGGAGAAAAGTCTTCATTATGAAAATAAACGTTTTGAAAAGTCAATGAAAATGTTCCAAGAAAATCAGAAGATCCAAATAGAACAAACAGCGTCTCTGTTGTCCGGATTTAAAGATTTAATGAAGGATTTGATGAAGGAATAGAGCTAGCAAATATCTGTTCATTTACAGTTCACTTTCTTTCCCTGAGAATTTGGCATTTGATTTTTACCGCCGTTTATTAATTTCATGCCAAAAAAACAGGCAACGATTGTCCATTTAATATTATGATTGTTCATTCGTTTATGTTTGATGCTTGATAAACTCAATTTGTAATAGGTCATTAAAGCTTACACATTTCCTGTTTATTACACTTTTTGCCCATTTTTAAAAGTTGTTAATTACAAAAGTTGTAAAACACACGGTCCGCTGTGACCTGGCCATGATAAAGAAACCCAACAAAATGAACGAATTCAACAGCAAACAAATCAACCACTTTTTGTTTTCGTTTCCCTTCGAACAAAGACAAGCAATTTCAACCTTTGTACGGGATAACTTACTGATATCTTGAACACACTCTAATTAAATAATTACAAGCTATCCCACACAAAGTTCTTTAGTCCTTCCCTTACTTCTGTGCCGCCCTCGCGCAATGGTCCTTCATAATCGTTGTCAGAATCACTGTCATCTGAATCGCTATCGCTGAAATCGTACAAGTCGCTGTGATGGACACAAATGTTTTGTGAAACACATGCAGTAAGAACAGTTTACTGAGTGTTCTGGTTTGCTGCTCAACTTCCTTTAATAGTAACCGCCAGCGTCCCTTGAGCATACCAAATACCCTTTCAACAACAGATCTTGCAGCACTAAGCTTTTCGTTAAATTCACGTTCATCTGGTGTAAGATGCCCTCTACTAGGATAAGGTTTGACAAGCCATTTCAACAGTGGATACGCGCTGTCTCCTATAATAAGAGGGTGAATTTCTGTTCCACTGACAACTTTCTTTGGTGATGTTAAAGTTGTTCGTTTCTCTTAAATGAAAAAGGCCACTTAATCTTAACACCCTGGCATCGTGTATGCTTCCAAGATACCCGAAGCTAACACGAATAAATTTGTTGAAAATTTTTTGTATTGAAATAGTCCTCGTGGTTATCTGGAGGAGCATTTATTTCGATGTAACGACCTTCTATAGCGCCAACAATTTGCGGAATCCTGTATTACTCTTCAAACTCATCCATCAGTTCCTCTAACTCTTATTTTGTTATTGGAAACTTATTAATTATAAACTGGTCTTTAAGTTGTAGAAGAGAACGTTCGAATTCGGCATAGATAGTACTAGCGGTGGACATCCCAGGTCCAAATTGCAGTCCGTAGCTTTTGAAGCTGTCCCCCGTTGCTAGCCTCCACAGCGCTACTCCAACTCTTACTTTGACGCTTACAGGTGAACGCATTCTCGTATGCATTCTTCTGTAAGCCCTACGGCGATTTCTTTGCCGAAAACTGCATTGTCGCACCGTTCTACAGTAATACACAAGATGTCACGTGTTGCTTTGTGTTGCTGCCAAGTACTCGTTAGCAACGAAGTATTAATGCATTTCTTATAATGTTAAAACTCTTTGGGTTACAGTAACATCAAAATAAATAGGAAACTATAAAAAAACTTTTTTTCCGTTGCAAAGGCCTCATGATTTTGCTGGCGAGCAATCGCATTTGTGATATGCATGGCTGATTTTACCGCGAAAAATGATTGACGGCTTGACTGCTTCAAGTAATATACTTTGTCACCAGGTGTGAATGTCTGATTAAAATTAAGTATGGTCGATTTTGTATATGTTTTCGATGGCTGGAGGAAATGATCTTGAGGAGTCATTTGTGCTTGGCCAAGGACGAATTCAGATACCATCGTTAGCATGTTTATTTGATTTTGTTATCTGGAATGAATGATTTACAGAGGTAAGTTTATATCATGCGATCTACTAACGTCGAAAATATGTCAAGTCGAAGGAACAGTTTTGGTCTCGGTCCGCATTTTTGCCAACAAAATAAACTCATACCGCTCAAAAAGATAATAATACGGACCACGTGCAAAGCTGTCAATTGTTTCTCGAATGTTGCGCGTGTTAAATATTCAATAGTGACATCTCATTTAATCTACATACATGTCTACTTTTATTAAATTAGTAAAATCTGTACAGACATCACACCAACCAACTCGCGTGCAAAGTGAGAATACTATCTGAAGGCTTCAAATTACGTTACGATCGACTTTCATTAAGAAGTGGGCCAGGAACATTCCACAATAGTGGAAATAATCGTGAAAGCTGATCGCGGAAAAGTGATTGCGTGACGCTTTGTAAGTTGTAAGATGACATGTTACCATATACCAGACGTAAACACTCTATAGATTCTCAGTCTGCATTTTGAACCCACTCTGCGATCTATCGTCTACATTTTTTACCTAGTCGGCATTTTTTACTAACAGGTATCCGTGGCACCAATGCAGTTTACTTTTGGTTACAGTTATTCGCACAACACACACAATCTACCACAAAACGACGGAACTAGTTTGGCAAGGACTGTCACAACAAGGGGATTTAATGTGGAGATTTGGCTTTTTCTCATTGAATTTTTTCGGTACAAATGTCTAAATTGAACGGACTTGGAAAGACTCCCCGAAAGCGTATTTCAGGTATGTACAGCTTAAAAATTAATAAGCTAAGAATCCTAAAAATAAACATTGTTTTCCTCCATGTCGCACCAATCACTGAATTCTTAAATAAAAGAAAAAAATGTATAAATACCTTTTCTCGATCCACGGCTTTTCGGTCTAGGGGTAAAAAGCCATTCTGACTTTAACTTATTCCCTGAGAAAATAATTACCCAATTTCACGGCAGAAACAATGAATAGGAACTGCAGCTCACTTGTTCCTCTTATTCAGCTTCAGCAATGTAACTAAAACTCGAGGCGTCACAAAGGTTGGAGGGTCGTTGAACATTAATCAAGGGACGTAGGATCCAATGTGAGTTATTCCACTTGTGTTTGATAATGTCAAACTAAAATACAAACAAAAGGCGAATTTAAGTGACACGAAATTACTAAGGCCGCGAACAATAGTTGCATTAACTGAAAAATACACGAGCGCAAGATAAAACTAACAATATAAACAATAATCAAGGTACAACTCAAACGAAACGGAACTAAAGGAATACAATACTATGCTTAATTAAAGATTGTCCTCTCTGTACGCCCAAGAATCGTTGGAACTTAACGCAGTGAAATTTCCAAGAATAATCTTTGGTTGCACAACTTTTCAATAACAAGTCATTACAACTTATAAGCTAGAGGAGGAAATCTCCCTCAAACCTATCAGAAATATTACCATAATTTTAGCCACAATATACTCACAAGCTAACACTTATTGCACCTTCCAAAGCAAATCGAATCAAACATGACAAGCTTTGCTCAAGAAAAAAATTCTCACTAGAAAGCGTAAAATGGTCCATAGGCTTGTCAACGTAAAGCGAGAGGACTCAATTAGCAAGTGAAAGAGAGGTGTTTGGCTTCGAACGCGAAATTAATTAAAGTTGTAGGATCCGCGCGGCTTGCGCGTTGACGAGTGCTACTTAAATTTAGGACTCTTCCGCCTGTTAATACTGTGTGACGTGACTACTAAGTAACTCTCTTACAGCTAATAATTGCTAGGCGGATCTCAAATCTGCCTTAGATTAATTTGCGTAATTTTTTCAGGTTGGCAAAGCTCGTCATGTGATAATAACTGTAACGACGTAAGAAAGAAGCTACACTTAAGCGATCGAGACGAAGCAAAGCGGTAAAAAACCAGTCCAAAGGACTTAAACAGACAGAAATAAATCTGAACTCAACTTAATTAAACAGAAGCAAACAAAACCTGAACTGACGCAGAACTAAACGAGAATAACAAAAAAATTAATTGAACAAAATGTAAATAAAACCTAACATATCAAAGAAAGCAAACATTAAAAAAACAAATGGAACAAAAACTACGAAGACGCGAAAACTTAGCTGAGCAAAAAGCGAAATACAAGTGCAAAGGCAATTACGTGTAGTGGGTAATACTGGCGCCTACAATAACAGAAAATTCATTTCATCAAAAGGCGGGTGCAGATATAGTAAAAATGATATCCGGTCAATTCGCCACCACAATAAACTCCCCACCACAAAACTCGCCATCACTTGAGAGTCAAATCGCTAGCTTAAACCTTAAGAGTAGCCTGTCATCCGAAACTTACATCAAATGAAGTCTAAATTGTAGTAGTATATTGCAAAATGGGAAAGGGACTCAGAAGTTAAGTGTGGCTTCTCAATTATGGAACGTGAACCGTTAAATGAAATATATTGTTGATATCACAAAGATTATGATCAGTTTGTGTAAAGCGAAACCAGAGTCATTTTTGCCGAGTGATATTAGCCAAGTGATTTCCGCCGATTTTTATGAAGTCGTATGAATCTTACGTCGAATAAAAGCTAAGAAGTGGTGATAAATTGCGACAAAAAGTGCGTAAGAATAGCAAATTCGATTGCCGAAAACATAAAAATGCGTTTAACAGAGGAAATACAATGGCGGAAGGAAGCAATAATTAGAACTCTCTCGCTATCAACGCTTTGCAATGATGATCTGTAAAATATAAAAATGTGGGACTATAGGAGTTTACAATCAGAATTACAAAGAACACCATCCGTGATCTATCACGGCACAGATTGCAATACCTTCGAAAATGCTCCTCGATACATCCTTGGCAAAAATGGTGGCCACAACGAGTAATTCTCGGATCTTTCATTGGCCACCGACATATTCCACTTTGCAAACTTCCATTTACTGGCTCTACGAATTCATCGTCATAACCAGAAGGTAAGCAAGGCTCTGGAGTAACTTCCGCCATTATCATCAGCTGAAATAAGGAGTGTTTGGAATGAGAAACTTCATATAGATAATGGAGATAGTACGCGCACTATCTTTGGTCAACTGGTGAGTTGAACTGAGATGTACATGCAAAACTGTTGTGACGTCATTCTTTCGAAATACCCGCAAAGTGGTTTCAAGAACAAATAAAATTTATTAGAAATGGAGAACATTTTACCAAATTTTGATTGCATGTTGAGATATCTTTTCCCCCCTGAGTCCAAGGGAAAATTTCCAAGGAAATTTGTGCATTTAGTTACTACGATAAAGTCCCCTTCGAGACAATCTGCATCATGTTTATAGCAAAATTTTCACGAAAACGTACGTCAAGCTCTGTGCCATATTCTCTATTTGTCTAAAAGCAATATCACAGCCGATCGGTTGCCTTCTTTTGGCTTTCAAATTTTTTATGAGATGAATTTTGATTGGTTTGTGCGTTGTACGATCTGCAATGTGACTGGCTAGTTGGAAATGCCATCTTCCTGAGCATGTATGAAAATCTACATAAATCAAGAGGTAAATTAACTTATGACATTTTATTGGAGAGAAATATTTCATAAAAGTGTCCAGCGTTTGCACAACTTTCTCGAACTCTCCCAACTCCCCTTCGTGTTTAAAAGAAACCCCTTTTTTACAAGGAAAACTATTTGAATATAATTGAAATTTTATTTTACAAATATACCCAGCAGCTGAAACTTACCAGCAGCTTCATTACAGTGAGAGAAAAAAGGAAAAAAAAACTAAGACATACTCTGACACATGCCAACGATAATTTTAAGCAGAACCTCCGAGAATGTACCGAGGAGCATTTACGAAGATATTTGAACGCAAAAAATCAACTTCCGTGCTGTGATAGATCACGGATGGTGTTCTCAGTAACTGTTATTGTAAACTCCTATAGTTCCACATTTGCGGTAACAAACTCTTGCACGTTCTACAGTAATCTGAAATCTTTTTAGATCACCATCGCAAAGTGTTTATTGCTTTCTTCCGTCAAAATTGGCTATTGTTACGCACTTTTGTCGCAGTTTACTGCTACTTCTTAGCCTTTATTCGACCCAAGTTTCATACGATTTCATAAACATCAGCGAAAAGCACTTGGCTAATATCACTAGGCGAAAATCACTTGGCTAATATTACTCGGCGGAAATCACTCTGGTTTCGCTTTACGCAAACTGATCAAAATCTTCGTGATATCAACAAATTATTTCATTTAACGGTTAACATTCCATAATGGAGAAGCTAGACATAACCTCTGTGTCCCTTTCCCATTTTGCAATATACTACTACAATTTAGATTTCATTCGTTATGTCCCATATCACAGGCCTCTTTTAACGCTTAGGCTGGCGATTTGACTCTCAAGTGGTGGTGAGTTTTGTGGTGGTGAGTTTTTGTGGACGATAATTCACCTTTTACTTTCCCATCAGACGTGGTTTTATTTGAAAATCTACGCGCTTAACGCCCTGAAAATACCTGATAAGATACATCACTGTACGCACGCAGAGCTAGTTTGATTATTCCGTGCCGGAACGCTTCCTGCTTAATTCTTCGCATCTACTTTAGCGGTAGCGCAATATCAACTCGCTTTCAAACATATGAAACAAAACAAAAAACAAAAAAAAAAAAAAAAAGGCATAGAAACGCTTCACGACTTTGGAAAATTTAACAACAAAAACGCCGAAGCCGAAGTTCGCACTCGGGTAGTGGGTTGTTTACTCCATGTCTGAACTTTCGCGGTCTGTTTACATCAAAAGTCACACGACACCACACGTGAAGTCTAAAGCCTGAGAGGTGAATTGACCGTATGCCATTTTTAATAATCTGCCCCCGCCTTTTGATGATACAAATTCTCTGTTACTGTAGGCACCACGATTACCAGCTATTCATAATTGCCTTGTAAGTGCTTTTCGCTTTTTGCTCAGTTCAATTTTCGTGTCTTATTAGCTTTTGTTCAATTTGTTTTTTTTAATGTTTGCTTTTTTTTAATTTAATGTTAGGTCTTATTTGCATTTTGTTCAATTTTTTCTTCAGTTCTCGTCTAGTTCTGTGTCAGTTCAGGTTTCGTTTGTTCTTATTTAAGTTGAGTTCTAGTTTATTGTTGTGTTTTTCTGTTAGTTTACAGATTATACACGTTTCTTATACTTGTCAAGATATACTAATATCTACGGACCGGTCATCATTTTTCACCTTGGGAGGAGGGGGGTGGGGGGAGTGGGTTGATATGAGGTCAGAGGATTTGGTGGTGTCCAGATAAATTTATGTGTTTCCACCGAGAGGCTAACGCTCTTTAGTTTTCTTCTAATTTCCCCCTCATTATCAGTCCGGCTTTTTTAGCCCAGCTCGCTCCCCAATTTTACTCTGTTCACGTAGACTCACTTCTGTTTCTACCCTCGCTCTTATCTCACAGATAGACAATTTGGACTCAGCAACAGTTCAGCTATCATCGATCCTGGCCACAACACAGAGTAACCTAGATGGCCTGAATGATACACAGACCAACAGTATACCAGAGGCACCGGTTAAGGTTAAATTTATCGCCGTTTTTACAGAAGTAGTTTTACAAGCAACCTTGAACCATTTATACGAATGTAAATTAACCGAAAACGCCGAATAATTGACTGCCACGGTCGTTGACTAGAAGTATTAAAGAAGATTTTTTTGGCTCTGATTTCGTCTTCTCTTGGACATACATTCTCCATCGCTGGTTGTGGAAAGGGTTAGTTAAAAAGTTTTATAATATCCCCCCAATCTTTGAGCTAGTGCTATGTACCAAGCAAAGATAATTTGTTTGTTGTATCTTACTTTAGATAATCAGGGCCCAGGTTCCTTTAATTCGCTGATGTTTTTAGGACGAGATTTCATGACCTTAACATAATCGGAACAAACAGATAAATATGAGAACAACTACAACAACAAAACACAGTCTTCGGTGTCAAACGGTTTGTGTGCTGTCTATTGCGAAGAGAGCGTCCAAATTTCAATATAGGAAGACAGCATGAAGCTTAACAGTACATAAATGAAAAAAAGAGACTTATAATTCTTTTTTGTCTTTTTATGCTATAAAAAAGCATAAGCATTGTGTGTTATATGCCTTTTAGCGCCCCAGACATCTAGTAAAGTTGCAGAATTTCTTACAGGTACTGGATTTTTCACTATTAATCATGCTTGAATCCATTATTATCGTTAGGACAACAGCCTTAGCCAACCATTACTGCAGTCCATTGGCAGTCTAACGAAACAAAGGAAAGCTTTAATAATTTCAAGATGAACACTGAAAATTCTCTTATACTGGTAAGCTTGCAGATGAGCCCTTTTACTTTTGTAATGTGTGAACGCATTAGGTTCAAGTTTGAGATGATGGCGGATAGTGATTTTGAAAATTTTATTATGAAAATGACAATAAGAATTATGACAAGGAAAACATAGAGGGGATCAGGAAAAGCACTTGTTATAGAAATGGTGACAGCTGCTAATATGGTGGCAAAGATATCGATTTTCAGTTATCAATGAAGACAAGACAGCGAAGATAACATGAGCTGACTAACGGAAAAAAAAGGGTTCTTAAGTTGTCACGGGTTTCTCATACTTCCTTGTAACTTCATTTCAAGGAAATGAAAGAAAGGCTGTGGTGAAGGATTCAACAACACATTTTATGATCTGAACAACTCCTCTTTTCCTTATGTGATATTTTTATAAAGAACCAATTTTTACTTTTAGAATGCCAAGGCCATTCCTAAAGTTGATCCTATGTAAAAAAAAAAAGCATTCAGAGGCTTCAGATGATAGCAAAGCTTCGCTTAGAAACCTATAGCGCGGCTGTATGAGCATTGAAAACTAAATAATTTAAATAATGAATCATATTAAACTGTTCACCTGAACAAACAGACGTCAACAATCCTAGCTTTAAAATATTCCACAACAGAATGGTGGCTATAAAAAAACTTGAATTGGTGTAAAAATGTAAATCACACTTTAGCTCTGATCATGCTCAATTGTGTTTTTACCGCAGGTGAATAACGGGCTCAATAACTTGGAGAAAACGGTGAACTCAACGAAGGACGAATTAGCTTCAAGGATTGCAAGTGCAGACCTTTGGGTGAGAGAAAGCGTTATCCTTTGCAATTTTTAAATATAAAGAAATCACGATTTTTCATGAGCCGACCTGTAGTCATTTACCTACCCATGGTGGAAATGATTAATTCTTGTGAAAGCACTTTTTGAGTGGGTGTCGAAAGAAATCCAACATTCCTTGAGTTTGATGTAACCTTTAGCTTGCGTCGGGTACTTGAACGTACAATAATGAGACAACTAAAACGAAGCACGACTTGGTCAGTTCTTCGTGCTAGAGACTAACCCTAAGGAGAGGGTAAATATCGTTAAGATTTTAGTCCTAGTTCATGAATCGTACATACAGCAATCAACCACCGTAGGCTATATTTGTTGATTCGGAACATATACGACAACTGAATCAAAGTCCAGTCGACCAAACTCGTATGATACCGTGCAGTACTTAAAACGCCTCAAAATCCCACACCGTAGCATTGCAATTTGGAAGGTTGCATACTTATTGCACTTGTAATCTGAATCGTTATGTTAAACAGCTCAACAGCACCACCGAAAGACTTGATCAAGAAGACGTCAGCATAAAATCCCTTATTAACGACATCAACGCAACTTTGTCTTTGAAGGTATTAGAAGTTACGGAAATAATTTTTTTTTTATATCAGAGTCTTTTTCTCTCTCTCCCTTTTTTTTTTAATTTTTTTTATTTTTTTATTTCCCTATTTATTTATTTTTTTTTTGGCGTTTTTCCTTTTTGTTTTTTTTTTCTTTTCTGGCTTGTGTGTTTGTTTTAGCTTGTTTGTTAAATTATGGAATTAAATTCTTATGTTTCTCTTCCAGGCAGAGAATGTGAGTAAGCTACAGGGCCCCGTTGGACCACGCGGTTTTAACGGCTCTCAAGGACCGGTTGGACCAGCCGGACCTCAGGGATTCAATGGAACACAGGGTCCCCAGGGGGTGATAGGTCCACAGGGTTCTAACGAATCACAAGGGTCACCGGGATCAGATGGACTCCAAGGAGCCGCAAGACCCTCAGGACCCCCTGGAGCAGGAGACTTTTCACAATGTGAGTTCATGACTAGCACGGACACAGGATCCCAGACTGCTTTCCAAGGCAACACTCTTCCAGCTGCAACTAAAGTCATCCTAACTGAACCAACTGTAAGTAAAATGAAATACGAGACCTTATAAACTCGACAATGTGAAAAAAAATAGATAAAAAATCTCATCACGCATATCTCAAAAGCGTGATGATGAATTTAATTCGATGATAAAATCCAATATTACTATAAAAAGAAATACAAAACAAAAGATAGATGCAAAATTTCAATTGTGTTGTTAGCAAAAGCTGAATTATATCAAACAATAATGCTTTTTGAACAAGAAAACGTCACATTCATAGATGAAGGCTCGCCTATCCGAGCAGTTCTGTTCCACGCAGCCATTCCTCAAATGAAAATAAAAGTGAAATGAAAAGTGCTTTACGAAGTACGCTCAACAGCATACCAGTATGACATCATTTAGATATGATTTTGTTTTATCTCCCTTTTTCAACCATTATACAGGATAAAAGAATAGTTGGTGTCACATGCTGAACAGACTTCGCCCAACTGTATATCTTGGAAGCTGAGATTGTTCCATCTACAAACAACCAAGTGTACCGCTGTGAGTGCTATGGAAATCAGGGAAGTGTTGGGACAATCAAAAGTATTCAGTGCTTCATGCATTATTGGTTATGTCCCTTAACAACATAAAAGTGACACGCCATCTATTACCTTATGTGAAGAAGAAAATGCATTGTACTTCAGGATGGGGTCGGGCGATACTTGCTAAATAAGCAAAAAAAAATGCAAAATGTCAGTAGTTAATGAAACTGATGTTCTTTTTCATTTATTGTAATTAAAGATGCAGTTGCGTTTTCACCTGGTGTTCTTCTCTCTTAGAAAGAGAAATGTTTTGTAAATATCATATAGTGAGAGTATTCAAACGAATTTACTTTCCCAGACTTGATTGTAGCTGTGAATTTTTTTAAAATCACTCTTGTTACAACATACCCAATTAGTCTCGCCACTCAGTCCGACAACCATCATAAATTGTGCTCTATATTTCTGTTGTTTGAAAACTTATGAAAACGTTGAGTACAAAATGATCTTTCATATAGCTCAAGACTTGATTTGCAGTCATGAATAAACACCTGTAAATGGTGATCCGGTCTCTCCATAATGATAAATTAAAAAGTGGTGGAGATGAAAAAATGGCAGAGAGGCGAATAATTTTCCTTAAAACATCAAAACCATACTCTCATTCCCAAAGTCTAAACATCGATTCTTCGCACTGTCCTACAAACTTTGTAATTATCTTACTATGTAATTATAGAAACTTGGCGAACAATCTAACAATATCCACGACATTCAATTGTTAAATATTCTTCTTTTTGTTTATAGCATTTCAATAAAATATTTAAAAGGCTGTTTTCGAATTTTATTTTTTGGTCACTCCTGGGAGTAACATGGATGGGGTCGAAGGCTTTATTGGTCATGATGATGAGAACCACTCAGATCAGTATGAGTATTAGAGGTTTTGCACCTATTGTTTTTTAAGTTGAACCGATCCAGCAGTTGCTTGACTAAATATAATTCACATTGCAGTTTCTAGCTTTTACTTCTGTACTCGTCTGGCAGCTAAATAAAGAAATGAACTAGTATAATTGGGTATTAAGGCTTTTAGACTTTTCATTTTCTGTTAAATAGCTTCGAAATCTTTTTGTGCGAGACGAAAAATTTCCAGCGCTGGAATTCAGCTGTGTGTACCGGTCATCAATAGTCAGGAAAGCCAAATGTTCCAATGATTTCAACAGAGTAAAGACCGTACAAAAGCCGCTCTTTTGGTTAATTAAAGTTTGTAAGGCCTGTCGGAAAACAGCTACCTATTTCGACATTGGCTTACGATGAACTTTTTGCTGTCACGTTTTAAATCTTAAGCTTCCTTTTCTCATTTCTGCGCTTGACCTTAATGTGTTTGATAAGCAATTGCCGCCGTAAAAAATGTTTATGAGTGCATTAAGTTAACAAGTTAATCCACAAAATCTTATAAAAACGAGCCAAATCAATACTTTTGACGTACATTTATGGAGGCGCACAGGTATTAGTGAGCTTAACTGGGATCAACACGAAATGGCATGCAAAGCATCACAAAGGAATTTTTTCTTATTAATGAGATTACACAAACAAGTAAAGTACACATGGGGTCATAGACAGCGTAACGTTTAAGATTAATGAAACGTTGTTTCGGGTGCATCTATCGACCTAAAATGCATGTTCAGCAAAAAAAGGAATAGTTCTTAAGGAAAACCACATCAGCCGACATTGTGACTGAAACTTGAAACAAAAACAGGTTTGCGATGGATGTTCATGAAGGACCGATGTTTGTTAACCCAACTTTCGACGATTGGATTTACGAAAACAGCATTCCACCATCGCCTTCGAATTTTTCGCGTCCATTGCCGTACCGCGCGGAAGTCACTGCTCCTACTGGAACGAGGAATTCTCGCCAGGCACAATATGAGAGTAAAGCACAAGGCAAGAGGAAACCTCCTGTGCGATCAAACCGGTCACAGTTGACCCTCTTGACTCTTGTGTGCTTGGTGTCTTTCGTAATATTTGTGATGATCCTTATGATATTCGTTGGAGGAGTATTGAAGGGTTGTAGCTGTCCTGTAAACCAAGGTTAGCACATTATTTTCTTGCCTAAAAGCCGTATGAGCTGCATGTCTCATTCCTGTGATTGTCGAAATTTCAGGTTTAAGTGTTTTCTGTATTTGAAGCATTCTTCATCTGGTTATAGAATTTTTTTTTTTAATCAAAAAAATGTATTTGCGTATAGTAATTAGAGACGGGCTACTAAAACATATGGTCTTGCTTGAACGTTCATTTGTACAGTCATTTTTTATTTTAATAATGATAGCTTGCATTTAAATTCGTAAACCAGTCAGTTTTCGTGATCTGTCTTAAAGTCTTGCTAATGCATGCGTAGAAATTTTTGCCCGTTTCTCTTCATACAGAAAATCGGTAAGATTCAGAGAACGTTCATTTAGACTCCAGCGGGGATGAATTCCTCATAAAAAATTTCGAAAGCAGACATACACGGTAGCAGTCACATTATGCATTTTAAACTTCAGGGTCCAATGGTTCAAAGAGAGAATAACGCTATCCGATGGATAAATTGCTATCCTGTGGATAAGAGTTCACAAAACGTACGATGCTGTCTACAAGAAAGAGATTAATTCAGTGGATAGCGTTATCCACCCTTCAAAATACCGGGGCCAGTGCTTGAGTTTAGTCTATGCACAAGCAGAAACGATTTGCATCTTATACCAAACATTTGTGACCATTTTTTTTAAGGTTTTATCTCTCTAGTCAAATGATGCAGTTTAAACTTTGATCCTACTACTCTAAGGTCGCGAGTGTCTATGCTCTAATTTAGGTAACTTAACTAAAATAGATGAAGGTATTTAGGAATAATTAAATGGTTCGTGCAAATTATATCATCTTCTCACTTATTTATACCGTGACTACAAACTTTAATACACTGTCAAAAAGAGAAGCTGCGAGAATGGCAAAATATATTATTCATACAGGTAACGTTAAATACATAGCACTTAGCAACAAAGAAATGGAAAGCATATATCAGATTGTCATGTATTAAGATCGTACAAAGTGGGATTCCGGTCTTGGGTGTGAAAGTTCGAACAATACTCATAGAGATCTGAAAGAACATTCTTAGTAAATGATAATGGCAGCTTAATTACTGACATAATCAAAAAAATATTAATTATTTACCTGATTTACTGAGAAGTAAATTAATAAAGTCAGAAAGTTGAAAACTCAAGCCAATGTGAGCTGATAGGACCTAAATTCAGGCCCCACCTCTTGGTCTGCCTTTACTGGATAAATCTGAACAGTGAGAACCAAAGAAAAATGATAATGAAGATAAAAAAAACTTGCATGACATTGACTCCAATCGCCTCTTTTTTTTAATGCAAATCTGGCTCATTCCGTTAATGATTTTAGCAAACATCACGGCGTAGTGGTTACAAGACCGATGGCGGCGTTTCCTTTGCGGTCGGATCAGTGAAAGAATTATACTTAAAGTCGAGTTTTCTCTTCAAAGAATCTAATTACCTGCGTTCTTAAGACTGAAATGAAAAAAATAGCTCTAAGTAATTAAGAGCTACTGCATTTTTAAAGCCTATGACTCGGTGCCGGACTTCAGTCGAATCGAAATGATCTGGCCCCGGTTGTTCGAAGATCGGATAACGCTATCCACTGGATAAATCTCTATCCGGTGGATAACGCTACACGTTTTGCTATCACTTATCCGCTGGATAGCGATTTATCTGTTGGATAGCGTTATCCACCCTTTATACAACTGGACTCTGGAAATTAATGGCAAAGTTCAATGTGCGCTTGTTTTGTAAAAAGGACTGTTATCATATTCCAACCATAGCTAGTGTACCTGATATTATATACAGAATCCCCTGATCTGGTCAGAACTAATGTAAGTTGATTCTTGTTCACGTGCGGATCAAAGATGAATGTTGTTACAAGAGGGTCTCAATGGCGTGACAGCTTTTACAGCTTATAGTTAAAGTTTTTGCCATTTTACTGCCATCAGTTAGTCCGAAATGGCCTTGACGATAGGAAAAGTTATTGAACGTCAACTTTTTTTTACGACTAACAGTTAAAGTTTTTCCGGCAATTTTTACGACAAACGGCGAAATTATTTTGCTGTTGTATGGCTAATTACAACGGCTCACCCAAGTGAGAATCTCTTATAACTTCACTCAGTAAGTACGTACTGTAAGGACTGCTAAATTAAAAATTTTGTTTAAATGAAATCTTCCCCCTCCATTTGAACTCAAAGATATAATAAATATTTTACTAAGATCGCAGTCCTTTCTACATTTTCCGCTCGGATTTATAACCCTCGCGCCTGGGCCATAAATCCGAGCGCAAAAAAATCGGTCTATAACTTACTAGACGAACCTCAAAATGTTTAAAATGTTTATTCACGCTTCTCCAGACGATTCTTCTGGAACTCGCAGTTCGGCTTCTTCCTCACTTACTGAAATATCAGACAGAATCAAGGGGTTGGAGGAGAATGTCACAAGTCTTCAAATACGTTTGGTGAGTAAATGTGAAGTGAGGAGGAAACTTTTGAGTGCATGGATTCCTCCGTCCGTAATCGAAAAAATACGTACGCGGAGTAAAGTGAATAGTAAGAAAGATATTGAAATATAGAAACTTGCGCTGCGAGTTTTTGATCGCATTGTCACGTAACTCTCTGCACCAGAATTATATCCAAGTAAGCAGCCGCCGAAATTCATTCCAGGAGACAAGTTTCTTTTCTCCTTTTTAGGAAAAGGCATATATACAGGTTCTGTACCCAAGATTGTTCTATCTCAGTATCAATCTACTGAGAGATCGATTATACCCTTTTTTCATAATAGCCATTAAAAGTGGAAAAGAGGAGCCACAGTCATTCATTGTACCAGAATACACATGAGTAACTCAAACTCGTGCCTTTGAGTGCTCCATAGTTAGCGCTGAAATCAGTCGTTTTCAAGAGTAATTTTCCTAAATATTATTTTTTCCATCTACAGGAAGAGAAAAACCAAGAGCTGATGGAAATTCGTCTATTATTGCCAAAACTTGAAAAAAACTTTGTAAGTATGTAGCTAAAGGTACCCTCGTCTTTTATATCATATATGTTTTAGTCGTTCTTTATCACGTTATTGTGTTTATTTACCTTTCTCAACCATGATACTGACGACCCTTGCAAATGCGTTGCAGACAGATGAACTTGGACTTTGATTTCTTAGTTGCTACATGGTTCCACGATGTATTAAGATCCTTAAAGGATGGAAACACGAGCAAAACCGTCAAAGAGCATATAATGCCGTAATTGAGAGTTTCCCAATTAAACAGCTACTTTTTAAGTTTGTAAATTGCTTACTCTAAGCACTTTTTTTGAAAATTAATACCAAGGGGTCTAAAATTTAACGAGGCAATAAATCAAACCTGTCGATGTCAGGACCTGAATGGCAGTATCTTGTACTTCAGTGCATGGCCCTTGTGGCCCAGCGAACATACGTGCTTCACAATGTTCTGTCACATGATTTCACGAACAGTGATATTCAGTTTTCCAAAGCAGGTTGAGTGAGCTTGAATAATTTTTGTAAAGAGATAGCAATGATCCTCTACTTCCCTCTATTTTAGACGAAAGGGGCACTAAAAGACTTCGGTGTGGAGCTTAATTCAACAAGAAGTAACCTGCAAGATGCAGACGTCAAGTTGCAGAAATCTTTAGCTGCCGTTAATTCATCTCTTGTGGAAAAGGTCAGAAGACGGAGTTACATTTCAGATTGAATGCTTTCTCCTTTCTTCATCTGCAAGGTCTCACTTATTAATATATGTATAAGATAATATTCTTATAATATCGTGTTATTCTTTAGATCGACGGTCTGGCCGTTACGACGACGCAGTTGTCATCAATCCTGGAAACTTCATTAGACAACGTTGAAAAGCTTAACAAGACGCTTGCAAACACAAGGAGTGAGGTAAGTTTCCTATGAGGCGATCATCGATTCACATGTTAATTTGTTCTGCCAAAAGCTCTGTTTGTGCAAGTTTCACCGGAGAGTTTGTCATTTGTTTCAAAATCCATTCTAGTTGTTGTTAACTTTTAGGTATGTGCAATTCTCAGACTTGCGACATCATGGATTAAACGGTAAAAATTACTGATGATTTGTCAATATTGTTTCTAATCTCTAGTTCAAAGAGAGCGAGTCGTCACTGAAATCAAGTTTGAACTCCTCAATTGCCAACTTACACCAGAATGTGGAAGAAATCAGCGCGAATAATTCCAAACAGGTACAGTTACAAGTACAAGAAAGTAAACGACATTTTTTAAAAACATGTTTCGACAGTTCCTCTGTCATCTTCAGTTCCGATTTATACAAAGTACAAAGTTGAATATAAAGTGTACAAAAAAAATACTAATTGGAAAAAACAAACAATAGGAACAGAACAATGTATGCAAAGTTCTAATTTAACATGATAAAGTTGATAATTAAGTGTAGGTTGCTCCCATTGAATGTGAATAGCTTCTCCGAAAGTTGGAAAGTTGTGGAAGCGTTATCTAACATGCTAAAACACTTATCAGAACATGGTTTTAAAAAATATCGTTTATTTTCTTAAATTCGTGACATATCTGCTACTATCCATGCTGAGGTAAATCGTGCACCAGCGAAAATATTTCCTGAATTAAAATTTCAATAATTTTGCTGGTGACTCTTATCAGGTTGATCGCCTTACCTCATGGATGACAACATTACAAGCTTTAGCTAATCAAACCAAAGATAACTTCAACGATTTCAAGAATGATACTGAAAGTTCCCTTTTATCGGTAAGAGTGTGAAATTGTTTTTGTATTACTCCTTTCCTCTGGTTAAAGGTCAGTATTGTGACGATCATAAAAATGTTGTCAATAGTGATGATAACGACAAGCAGAAGAGAAACTCTGGTGATGATAGCTCTAAGGAGGATGAAGAGCCGGCTGTGACTGTATGAATAATGCTACTGGTGGTACTGATGACACCTCGTTCCCAGTGCCCTTCTTCTTCTCAATTCCCTTAGCGGATAGGCAGAGGAGAAGTTGAGCTGGTGAAGAGGTGTTCCAGAGATGACTTTGTTTTCGGAGCCGAAAATTGTACATCTTCTCGAGGAAACATGGAGGTTCTCTCTAATCTAGAGTGTTAATCAAAGACGAATAAGAACTTTTAACCAAACTGTCTTATTGCTACTCTTAATTACCTCTTAACCTTAAAATTGTGCTTTAGGTGAATACTGGATTCAAACGCCTGGAGGAAAATTTAAATGTGTCAGAAAACAAGTTAGCTATGGCGATGTCTGAAACGAATGTAAAGGTGAGTATACCTTTTACTTCGTTTAAAAGATCTTTACTTCAATAACACTTTACTTGCAAGCTCTAACTGAAGGCATTAAAATCACTCCTTATTAAAAATAACCATCATTTATGATGGTGAAGCGGTGAATTTCTTTATCCGCAGTTCATATATATGAACGGGTTTATTTGGAACCAACATATATAAGGACCAGCTCCCAGTTTACTTGTTAGCTCAGTTGGTAGAGCGCTGCACCGTTAACGCAGAGGTCATCGGTTCAAATCCCGTTCAGGCCCGAATTGTTTTCAAGCCTTATTTTCATTACTGCTTAAGTAGTGTCTATTACTGCGCAGATCGCTTCCATATTCATTTATCGGCAGTTCGTTTATATTATTTTCATATATTTTACAGTCATTTAAAACAATTCCGTTTAGTTTAGCCATGATATTTGTGTCGTTATTCTCTTTCAAAAGCTAAAAAGCAGCACAGGAAGACTTTCTCAAGAAGATGCCATCATCAGGAATCTGATTGATGCCATCAACATCACTTTATCCTTGAAGGTATGAATGGAGCTACAGTTCTTTAATCACTTACAGGGAACCTTAAAGACGTGCTTTTAAACCACGATCGATCCATTTCTGGTGCGAAAAGAAAAAAAAACCGTCGAGATCATATTTCCTCTTGCCCCTGTGGACACTATAGGGACACCCTTTAATGACAATGATTACCTGTTCAAGTGATCATCATCGTATGGCGAGACTCCTAGCTGTCAGATTAAAAGGGGTATAGTATCATGATATTACTAGAAAATGAGGGATGTTTTCGGAAAAGATCAGGTCTTGAGCTGCGTGGAAGGCAAAACTATAGGGTATGGTGCAAATATTCATTCGTTTTTCAAATTCAAACCCTGATATCGATCACACTAACAAGCCAAAATTTTACAGAATTGAAATGCAAAGCATGACGAGGCAATCCGTAACTGGGCCGGAAAAAATAAACTACCTTTCAGAAAAGGAGTGCTCAGAATCTTAAAGGCGCCCTCAAGATGATATAGAGTATAGTTTTCTATCAAAAGTTATGAGGACTCATCGTGGTTGTGAAAGTTTCTGAACGAGGATCATACTGTCAAGAATACCCTTTTGAAGTCGCTGCCTAATTGTGATGAAATACACGTATGCCATCAAAATTATTTTGATCTGTGTATCTTTCAGCTAGATAATGTTAGTAAGCTCCAAGGCCCAATTGGACCGCGTGGTTTCAACGGCTCTCAAGGAGCAATTGGACCAGCCGGACCTCAAGGATTCAATGGTACACAGGGTACCCAGGTGCTTATAGGCCCCCCGGGGTTTAATGGATCAAGAGGACCACCAGGGCCACAGGGACCTAACGGAGCAGGAGACTTCTCTCAGTGTGAACACAAGACTGAGGATTTGACTGGAAACCAAAATCCAGTCACCGGCAACAGTTTACCAACTCCAGTTAAAGTGATTAAGGGTGAACCAATTGTAAGTAAATTCAAAGGAAAGATTCAAGACTATTCCCTTTGTAATTTTGTTGATAACGGAAAGTGTAAAGACGTTTGTCAGATTGTTTGCCATACCCTAACGCAAATGAAAACGTGGGTTAGCTGACGTGATACGCCAACATGGAATCATGCATGCTCATGTAATTGGACAACATATATGTAGGTCCTTTGTATCAGGAATTAGATCGATCTAAGTCTCCAAAATAAAGAATAGATGGTAAATTATTAAACGGAAGTAGTCAAATAGTCTACTGTTTTTGTTGTCAGTCAAGTAATTCAAGTATTTTTTTTATTGCAGGGTAAGAGGATCGTTGGTGTCGCATGTACAACAGACCATGCTCAGCTTTATCTGCTCTCGACCAAGATAAAAACATCTAATAAACAGTTGTTCTACTACTGTAGCTGTTATGGTCATCATGGAAGTGGCCAGGCTGCTATTCAGTGCGTCATGCATTACTGGGAATGTCCGCTGACCACATGAACACGAAAACGATTGGTGTTTTGATTGGGTGAAGAAACTTTGCAATAAATTAAAAGGCCCAACATCTTTAATTGTTATCGTAGTTTCTAGGAGAAAAGTCAACAGAATTTTTTCGCAACATGTTTGCAGAGTTTCTGTCACTCCATCTTCCATGGTTTATTTGGGTATGTCACATGAAAGCCAGGGGCGTCAGGTACAGTGGGCTTAGCGGCAGTCGTATCTGAATAGTATACACCTTGGTTATGGTGAGGTAAAACAAATGAACATGTACAACAGACCATGCTCAGCTTTATCTGCTCACGACCCGAATAAACCCATCTAATAATCAGTTGCTCTACTACTGTAGCTGTTATGGTCATCATGGAAGTGGCCAGGCTTCTATTGAGTGCGTCATGCATCACTGGGAATGTCCACTGACCACATGAACGCATGAACCGAACCTTTTTGTGACTAGAGCTCAAATGCCCAAACCATTAGCCCTGCTTAGCTACTCATAACTTCATCCCTGCATGTATGCAATAAGTTTCAAAAAACAAAAACAAAAATTTGTAATTACTTCATTATTTTTCATGTCCTATTGCTTTAAACAAGTGAGAGCCGTTTTCAGTTCTCTTAACACATAGTGACTGCAGTCTTCCACGACGTTTATTGTGTCTTTTTTTTCTCTGTACTTTTCGCTATGATTCGATATCATCTGATGCTTCTTGATTAATAGTTGTGGACACTTGCTCCGCCTCAGAGTCTGGGTCCTGGAACTCGCTGCATGGTCTGTTGTACATGGGTACTCACCAGTCCAGTACAGATACTTAATCCACACGTTCATTTCTGTGAATACTGAACGCTGATGCATAAAAAAGGAAACAACTAGATAAATCACAACACTTACATATTGTAGCCATCAGTTATATTTCCGTTAATTTTAACCATTTCACGTTTTAAATGCATGCGCTGTCACATTCGACTCTAACATAATTTGGTACATCGCTTTAATTTATGACCCCTATGGCTATAACAAGTAGCCGCTACTGCAATCTCATTCCGGCAGTAATGAACAATTATTTGATTTGAAATGGAGCATAAAGAATAAAAGTTCGAAAAAAAATGGTAGTTTTCCTAATTGTATGGCATCTATCAAGTTTCACCATACCATTGTTTACTTCAGAATTTTTGGCCTTAGATAAGCTCCAATTGTGTCAATCGATATTTTGCTTTGCTCAAAAAACTGATCAGAAAAGAAATCTGGAGTGAAATAATGATAGGCAAAATGAAGGAAAAACCCCTTGATGATAGCGTTGCGTGACACCAGGAGGAAGGGCTTTCGTGAAATACAGTGTAAGGTTAGTCTTATCATTACTCACTGTTTCCTTTTGCTTTTTCTTTATTGCATCCCTCGGTATTAGTGATTGCAAATCGGTCGAATTCTAACGTCCGCCATGATCCTAAAGGCTGCCGGAATTTCCTGACATTCCCATTGCCAAGAAAAGACGAAAACAGAAAACAAAACACAACAAAAAATCATAAAGATTAGGGCTAACAGAACTGAATTCTTACCGTCAGTTAGAAAAATTAGACTGAACGTCATCTTTATTGACAATCAAATTCGCACCAAAGTATAAACATGTTTAAAAGCTGTTTTGTTAAAATACGGTTCGACATTATTTTTCAGTTTTCGTAGGAGCTGCTTAAACCGATGTTTGTCGACTTCAAATGAAGAACATTAAAATTGCATGTTACTGAGTAGATAAACCCTATGGAAAATGCGATGACTATCAACTTCAGAGATTGATTCTTCAGTTTCCGGCATTTAAAAAATTATCGTATTGCATAACGCGAGCATAAGGTACGCCTCAAGATGTTGAGCGAAGAGGAAGTGGCTCCATGTTTTGTGAGACAAACCTTTTCCTGAAGTTCGAACGAATCCAGTAGAAAGCATGAAAACATAGCGCTGAAAAGTACCGTGACCAACAATGAAATTCACCCCTCCCGCAGTAGGACTAACTCCAATTTACCCGTGAGTTTGTTTGCACCATACATTTGCGGTCAGTAATATAATTCTCAGATGTTTGACGGGTTCTCACATGACCATATTGTCAAAATCAAATTACCGCGTCAGATTTAATTTCAACATGTACATCGCTGATTCAATCTCATTCTTAGGGTAAAACAACACATTTTCGACGAAGCGCGATTTTTTTTAAATGAATAAAGTAAATCCTGTGATAGTTAACTGGAGAAAGAAAGAGGTAGAAACTTGCTCACGCCGTTCGCTATCATTTGAAAACTTTCTAAGAAGAACATGATCCGAGAGATGACTTCTTTCCCTTAACACCACGACTGTATTAAACATTCCAAAAAGTAAATTGAAGAATACGAACACTTTGAAATGTTATTCAAGCGATGAACCGGCACGAGGGTTTTTGAGCAATGAATGCCCAAGTCATTGTTTTACCGAAACGTGATTTGAATTATAAACTGAAGCAAGTACCAAAAGACGATTGATAAAAAAAAGGTTTGAATTTTTCTGGGCCTTAGCGTAAGAAGAAACCTAGATAAGACACGACTTACCTCCTCTTCCTTCTCGGATCCTTTGTAGTTTGCTTCTATTTGCTGATGACCTCTTTCCATTCTTTTCTAGAGCGGCTTTAAAATTCTCCTTCTCACGTTGCTCTTCGCTACATATTCACCTTTTACTTATGCCTTTTCTTCTGCGCTTCTCTCTTATTCTGCCTATGTTGGCGTCCTCTCTAACTTTCCTGCGCGTTTTTCTCGACTCTCTTTACGCCTTTTACTTCTTGCTTTCTTTGGTCGCTCTGTCTTCTCTTTCCAGCCCATTTTCACACAAACCCTCTCTCCACGAACGTGAATTATAACAATTTCCCCGGTTGACAAAGCTTTAGCTCTGCTGATATTGTTGCTTTGCGAGTTGATTAAAATTGCAAAATACTGAGAATTACTGTTCAACTGCAACTTCACCAGTTTGATTTCCCGCTCAAAACGTGGGTTGCAAATTACTTGCTTGCGCGGCTTCATATCCACTAGCCCACGTGAAGCCTTCGTGTAATGCTTAACCATGTGCCCGCGGTACGCTGCTCTAAACCTCGGCACTCGAGTATGCGCACTTCATTGTCATCTGCCGATGTCTCCTGGCGCACACTAATGGGGTATCCAAGTTACGCACGGAATCGGGCGTGCAATTACCTTCTTCCTAACCCTTTCATTACGTAATGGCTAAGATAGTGCCCGCAATGCAGTTGGCTGCGCATGCTAAAAGAAGCATCTTGTACGGTCGGTGATACGGTCTCAATTCCAAATTTTTCGGCTCGTAAGTTACTACTATTTCCTACATATTTCCAAGCGCTGCGATTAGCATACTAAGCTCATGGCTTAGTATACTAACTCAACCAAAAGGTACATGTTATATCATTCGTAAGAAAAGTTTGGTTACCGGTATATCTAGTTTCCTAACAAACGCAACTAACCGTCAGCCTTAGGTAAAACGAGAGCAATTAAGCTGAACTTAATTACTTGCCACGTACCCTACTAAATAGTTAATAAAGGACCAGGAAAATATAATTCGACTCGCAGTTGGTGTTTTCGTTGAGGGACAGATTTTCACTATTTAAATTATCGTTATAATCAATATCACAATTTTCATTCTAGTCACCATCTCCATCACTACCGCTACTATTGCTATCAGAATCATTACCGTAATCACTGTTGTCATCGTTATTATTGTCATTCTCATTATCGTTGCCATTATCGTCATCATTATTAACAGGATTAACAGATATTATCGGGTCTATTTGTCCCCGACCAGGTTATTAGACATCTAAGTTAATTACAAAGACCGACGATCTGTTTTTTTTTTCAGTTGAGGAAACATAGAAGTTCTTTCTAAGAGTGTTAATCAAAGACGAATAAGAACTTTTAACCAAACTGTCTTATTGTTACTCTTAACTATCTCTTTGGGTGTATACTGGACTCAAACGTTCGGAGGAAAATTTAAATGTGTCAAAAAACAAGTTTAGCCATGGCGATATCTGAGACGAAGGTAAAGGTGAGTATACCCATTTTAGTTCGTTTACAAGATTTTTACTTCGGTTTATGTTAAGCTCTAGTGAGAGGCATTTGAAAATCACCCATCATGAAAAATAACCATTATTTATGACATAGTGACTTGGTAACTGAGTTTTTCAAAAAGCTCGGATAAACAGGAAAAATTTCCCTAACTGAAAAGCATTGGAAATATATTTCAATTCGCGTATTCCTACTACAACAATGGCACAATATTGAAACCCCAATCGATGATAAAAACATGTCCGTTTAGTTTAGCTATGATTTTTGTGTCGTTATTGTCTTTCAAAAGCTAAACAGCAACACAGGAATACTTTTTCAAGAAGATGCCATCATCAGGAATCTCATTGACGCTATCAACATCACTTTATCCTTGGTAAATATGGTATCATATGGAGCTACAATTATCAAATCATTTCCGAGGGAACCTTAAATAAATCGTAGCAAAACCACGATCGATCTATTTCGGGCGAAGAAAGAAAAAATTAAAACAAGATCATATTTTCTCTTGCCCCTGTGGACACTATAGGGACACCCTTTAATGGCAATAATTAGCAGTTTAAGTGATCATCAGATGAAGAGACTCCCGGTTGTCAGTTTAAAAGGGGTGTAATATCTCAATATTACTAAAAAAGAAGGGATTTTTTGAAAAGATTAGGTCCTGAGCTGTGCAGAAGACAAAATTATAGGTTATGGTGCAAATACTCAGTCGTTTTTCAAATTCAAACTCTGACATTGATCACACTACCGAGCCAAAATTTTGCCGAATTAAAACGTAAAGTATGACGAGGCAATCCGTAATTCGACTGAACAAAACAAACTTCCTCTCAGAAAAATGATAATATGGAACATAGTTTTCTATCAGAACTTATGAGTACTTTCTCATCTTGGTTGTCAAAGTTTCTGAACGAGAATCATACTGTCAAGAATGCCCTTTTGAACTCGCTACTTAAATGTGATGAAATACATGAATGCCATCAAAAAATTATTTTAAAGGAGACATCTGTGTATCTTTTAGTTTAAGAACGTGAGTAAGCTCCAGGGCCTCGTCGTACATAGCGGTTTCAATGGATCCACAGGGTATAACGGTTCACAAGGACCACAAAGACCCAGAGGAACTGGACACTTCTCCCAGTGTGAACACAATATTGAAGATTTGAATGGGAACCAAGTTCCAATCACTAGCAACATTTTACCAAGTTTAATTAGAGTGATTAATGGTAAATCGAATGTAGTAACTCCAAAGGAGAAATTCAACACTATTCCCTTTGTACTTTTATTGATAACGGGAACTGTAAGGACGTCTGTTAGATTGTTTGTCTTACCTTAACGCAGATAAAAACCTGGGTTATTCACGTTATCTGACGTGATACGCCGACATGGATTCATGCTCTGTAATTGGACAACATGTATGTGGGTCCTTTTTATCAGGAGTTAGATCGATTTAAGTCTCCAAAATAAAGAATAGATGATAGATTATTAAACGGAAGTAGTCAAATATTCTTCTCTATTTGCTGTCATTCGCATAATTCCGGTTTTTTTTTTCTGATTGCAGGATAAGAAGATCGTTGGTGTCTCATGTACAACAGACCATGCTCAGCTTCATCTGCTCACGACCCAAAAAACCCATGTAATGATCAGTTTTTCTACCACTGTAGCTGTTATGGTCACTATGGAACCAGCCAGGCTTCTATTCAGTGCGTCAGGCATAATTGGGAATGTCCGCTGATCACACGAACACATTAGCCGAACCTTTTCGTACGTAACTAGAACTCATGCAGCGTGCAAACCATTAGCTGCTCAACTACTTATACCTTTCTCCCTGAATGTATGCAATAAATTTCAAACACAGAAAATGTTTAGCAATTAATTTATTCTTATTCATGTCCCATTGCTTTAAACTAATTAGAGCCATTTACAATCCTCCTTGATTGCAGTCTTCCACTACGTTTATTAGCTCTTTTTCTCTATAATTTTCTCTATGACTCGATATCACCTGATGCTTCATGGTTAATAGTTATGGGTACATGCTCGGCCTCGGAGTCTGGGTCCTGGAACTTGCTGCATCTTGGGTCGTCTGGACCTTTTGGGTACTCACCAGTCCAGTACAGATACTGAATCCACACGTTCATTTTTGTGAACACTGAACGCTGATGCACAAAAGAAGAAAAAATTGGATAAATCACAACATATTGTAGCCGCCAGTATCTTTCCATTAATTTTATCCGTTTAACGTTTTAACCGCATGCGTAGTCGTTTTCGATTCTAACATAATTTGGTACATGACTTTAATTTAGGACCCTTATGGCCATAACAAGTACTCCAATCTCATTCCGGCAATAATTAACAATTATTTGTTTTGAAATGAAGCATAAAGAGTAAAAGTTTTTTAAAAATACTTTCCTAAATGCATGACATCTACCATGTTTTATAATGCCATTGTTTGCTTCAATTTTCTTACGAGGCATCAGATAAAATATTCTCTTGGATGCAAGCAACGAAAAAAGAATGGTAGCTCTCTTGGAAATACATCACCACCATAACATACGTCACCACGGAAATTAAACCGTGCTTCGAATTTCGAGGAACGGGGGGAGGGGGGTTGCGTCAATCGATATTTCACTCACATCTAGTTATTTAAAAAATTGATCAGTAAAGAAATCTGGAGAAAAATAGTGATAGGAAAAATCAAGGAAAAAAACCTTTTTTATTCCGCTGAAAAGTAATATAATTTGGACAAGTAAAACGCCAACTTTGAGGTTAAAATATTGCTGTTCCTCTGCAAATGTGAATTATCGCGTGTGGAAAATTATTAGCCTGGAATACGTGGGGATTGTCTTTATTTTCAGATGCCCAACAACCTCTTAGTCAAATCTAATAACTTTCGCTTACATCAAAGTCCTTGCAGTTTCCGTCTGTTATGCGCGAGCCACTGGCTTTACAGGGAGTTTTGCTGTCAATCGGTATGGTCATCTCGTAAGTTCCAAATGGACTCCGGCATTCTTCTGCTCCAAGAAGTGTGTCATCACACGGTAAACCGCTAAGATAATGACAGCACATTGGTTGAAAGCGGTTATCGTCCTTGCCCATACAGAAGAGAGAATCCTCTGAAAATTTGCGAGAAGAAATGTTTTACAAATAGTTTGAAAGGACAGCGATGCCCACTATGTCCAGACTTATCAAGGTTATAAAGGAGGTGTTTTTCAAAATGCTCCACGCTCCGTTTTCATCAGCGCTTTTCTGGCTTTAGTTAATGATAGGAGGAAGAAACGCATCAAAAAGTATGCGTTGAAGAGCGAAAACGAATTGGTGTGGTCGGAGTCTAATCTCCTTCGCAGTTACTTGACAGCCGTTCTGTAGGATGTCACGCCTTGATGATAGAGTTGCGTGACACCAGGAAGAAGGGCTTTCGTGAAATACTATATAAGGTTAGCCTTTTAAATCATTACTCACTGTTTCCTTTTGCTTTTTCTTTGTTGCATCCTTCGGTATTAGTGATTGCAAATCGGTCGAATTCTAACGTCCGCCATGATCCTAAAGGCTGCCGGAACTCCCTGACATTCCCGTTTCCATCTCTAAAGTAAGAGCCACTGAGATGTCTTAATTTAAGATAAACCCTCGATGGGTAATCCCCGCTTTGAGATTCGTCACCTTCTAGCTCAACGTACATCTGTGAAATGAAAAGTCGAAAACAGAAAACGAAAAAAAAAAAACATGGAGATTAGGGCGAACAGATCTTAATTCTTATCGTCAGTTAGAAAATTTAGACTGAACGTTATCTTCATTGATAGTCAAATTCCCCACTCGCACCAAAGCATAAACATGTTTAAAAGCTGTTTTGTTAAAACACGGTTTTACATTGCTTTTTCCGTAACAGCTGCTTAAACCGATGTTTGTGGACTTTAAATTAAGTGCATTTTGAAAATTCATGTTACTGAATAAATAAACCTGTGGAAAATCCAGTTTTTCAGATCTCTGTCTCTGATCATGATTTTTATTCAGTTATAAACACGGTTAAACATAGTTCAACTAACGAATAACAATTGTGGTTGACAATTCGACAATTATGCTTTTAAGAATCACCCCTAAAAGCAAAACATTGTGTCCAAAATTATGCTTCCTTTTTTTTATTATGCTCCATGTAGTAACTAAATTTAAGAGTGTTTAAAAGCCATGTATGTTACTGGAGAGATTATAAACTGTATATAATCTCGTGGTATTGGTAAAGCCTTGAAATCAGGCTTTCAATGAAGTAACCTAGTCTTAAAAAATTGCAGAAAAGAAATAGAAACTAAAAAAAAAAGGACCTCAAAAATTTTAGTAAATAAGTACTAGAAACGTAGTTTAACGCAAGGAATCTTACTCATTATGCTGGCCTTATACTCGATGCCCTTACTATAAAATTATGGCCAAAGTTATGCCAGCACAATCTATCTGAGCCTAGTTATTACCTTCAAAAGGCGCACATTATAACATAGATCGCAGCTATCTGAAATTTTCAATGAAAACCTCGTAGCGCCCTTATGAAGTTCGTCGAACATCTGCAAGAAATGATGAAGAAACTATAAGTAAATAATTTTATAGCAATAAAGATGACATTTAATGCAGAGGTTCCTTCTACAGAAATGAAGTAGCATATAAAAGGTAACAAGCCACACGGAGAACTGCCAAAGTTTGCTCAGAAAGACAAAATCAAAAATCAAAAGTCAAATGAAGGAAATGAAATGAGTGTTTAACGAGGCTTTAACTTAATCCAAGGGGGCTAAACAGTCAATTACTGAATGAACTACCCAACGAAAAATACCAAAAAACAAAAGGGAAAACAAGGAACAAAAGTTCAAAAAACATCAACAGCAACACTAACAACTGCAAAATACGTCTGTTTTATTTAATAGCTCATTGTAACAAAGACAAAAGAAAAACACCACACACCACGTTTTCTTTAGCACTGTCAAACGTCCATTTGTGCGTGGTAATTGTGTGACGAAATTTTGTGAAGCATCGCTGTCCCTTATTTTCGATATCGTCAATTTCTTGAAGTGCTTTTGTAAGCTCTAAAACCCCTTGGAGATTTCCTGTTCCCTGCGCGGCTAACACTGCTCGCCGTTCGAATTCAGCTAATTTTTCCTGAACAATCCATAAAGAGCGAAACTCGAAACCTTTGTACAACTGGTACAATTGTCGGGCAAATCCTGTTTCTATCTGCTGATAGGACGTAAGTAAACCATCCAGAAACATCTGTTGTGTGCTTTCAGCAATGGGAGAATCTGAAAAGAAAATATGCTAGCATTAGACCTTTGCCTACTCAAATACAAAAGCACCATTATGTTAATTAAACAGAAATTATGAAAAACAGCTGCGGTAAGTTGGATGAATTTGGGAAACGAGTCTGTCACGCTTAATATTCATTTTCCTGCTTATTTACGGAAAGAGGATCACCAATAGGGAAAGCGTGAGGCGACGTGATATCCAAGCTTAACTTGATGGGATATTTCGGCGAGAATGTATAGCCCCACATGTGCACGACCGAGCGTGGGATCTTCGTGTGCAATGTATAATCACAAAGACCCTTACCACCAGAATTACTAAGGCTTTCAATTTCATTTGCTGTCTCCTCTAAGTTTGAGATGTCAAATTTATGTCCACCCACTTCGTTATCCAAGTCCATGACCTTTGCTATGAGATCGATTCTTGCGGCACCAGCGATAAAATATCGTTCGATCTGTTCTTGAAACTTTGCCGAGTTTCGAGGTTTCGACCTCTCATCCAGCAGGCAAACAAGGTCCGCTGCAAGTCCCTCTTTGTTCATTTCCAGATTAGCCTTTTTATAAGAATATCAAAATTTTTGTCATGAACTGGATATTACTTGGGAAGCAGAAATAGATTTAGGGTCAAAGAAAGAGGCGCACAGACTGACACACAGACAGAGCGTCAGAGAGACACAGAAAAGAAAACAGACCAAAGGGTAAAGAGAAAGACAAAATAAATAAAACTCAACGATTAAATCAGTAGATAAACAAACAAACAACAAAATAACAAGCTGTTGAAACACAAACATTAGATATTGAAGATGCAGCATTTCCGTGTTTACCTGCATTACTTCAGGTACAGCAGCCACATCCATTTTGTCAAAATCCAATTCACTTGAGTCTTTTAGGGCAGCATAGTCCTTTCCAAATTTCAACCATTTTTCTACTTTATCCAAATTATCCTGAAGTTTACCAAGGTCACATTTGCCAGCAAAATGCCCAATAACCCCCAGGGCTGATCCAAGGGCTGCGAAAGGATCTTTCCCCATTGCACCACTAAAGAATCCTGTTATTCCCTCAAGAATGACGAATAAGTCGTCGCTGTTAAACTTTGCTTTTTCGTACACGTCTGGAAGCATCGCTTTTGCTTCTAGAAGATTGCTCTTCATGCTTGCCTCCAGCTCACCGATAGCCTAGTGCAACGAAGAGGAGACAAAACAATTGTAATATTAGGGCAAGGATAACAAGGAAGTTAAAGTCAGAAATTTAGCCGATTGGCTTATCTTTAGCTGGAGTTTATCTAGGACTCCGTAGCATAAGACGACTGGGGATAATGCCGCGCCAACTGGACTGTATGCTACGTCATCGCAGGTTATCCTTCATCAATCCGCCTGCCTTGCTAACTCTTCACTGATGCTCTTTGGTGGAGAGAAGTACTTTAAAAATCAAATGTCATCACCAATATTGACCAACTTTGTTTTCAACCCAGACCCAGCCGCCCGACCAGTGCGTTTTTCGTTAGGCCTTTATTTCGAAGCTATACTCATGTGTCCCTCTCAAGTTTACTTAGAATCGAGGCATCTGGTCTGTTTCTCTTTGAAATAAATGTTTTAGAGAAGGACAGTACGCCGTATGCAATGCCAACGTTGACAAAATTCGCCTACGAAAGCTTTTTGATTCAGAGTGTTTCAAGTAAAATGGCCGGTATAGCATTATTCACCTTAGAAAAATGTAAGAGGGAAGACCAGTTGGAGATCTCAGTTTCCCAGGTTGGTACTCTCTCGTTAAGAAATCGTTAGATATTCAACAATGAGGTTTCGACTCTTACCAATACATATGCTCCCTTTTCGCTTACTGCTATTCGTTTGGCCTCAACCAGTCTGTTCTTTTGCTTTATAACTTGAAGTCTGGCAGCCTGTGGTAGTGCTTTTACTATTGTCTTAACGTCATCATGCCGTGTAATTGATTCTTTGATAGCATTGTAAGCGTTCTCAAACGTTTCTGCACGATCTTTGATGACTTCGACCTGTTTCTTGAAGGCCTCCCATTTGATAATAGGTGCGAACAGTTGGTTCTTCCCAAATCTGTCATATCCTACTTTGTTCATAAAAGCCAGTCTTCTCTTTGCCACTAAGAAATAATCCAAACGAATGATTAGCAAGGGAGTTGATAAGTGCTTGTGAACCGCTTCAAACTCCCAATGGGAGATTACATTTCACATCATCTTCTATGCAGATTACGGCCTTAAATTCATTGATTACCATTCACTCTTTTTAGGCTGCGCCCCCAGTCCTAATCTTTTGTTCTTACCACATTTTAAGGTCATCTGTAATCTATTACTGTACAAACATGGAATCTATTTGGGAAATATAAGTATTTATTGTCGGGCTGGGATCATGTCTTTCGAAAATAGAGTTATCAGCAAATTTCTTTTATGTTATTTATTTTAATGAGGTAAATTAAACAAAAATATATTCCAAAATACCGAACCTTTTCTCAATTCAGACGCTCCAGCTTTGCCACTTGACAATTTTACAACAAACTTGAACACAGCGTTGCTCTTTTTGACATCGTTGGCCCAGAGAAGTTCTTCACCATATCTTGTCATCATCTTTATCAGCTGCAGAGGATACTTTTTCAATTGCTTTGGACCCAGACTAAATTTCTGAAGATACGACATTTCCTCCTGACCATCGGAGCCCTTTGCGACGAGTTCTTGAAAGTAAAATGACGGTAGGAAAATTGAAAGGCGTTAAATTTGTATTTGAAGCGTAACCTTTAGACAGTGTTTTAGCATTGCCCCGCAAATTGAAATTTTTGGGAGAAACCTTCGAAGCAGGACCAAACTAGTTCCCATTCCCTTCCCACTGCAGCGTTGATGAACACAATACTAGAAAACATTTCATTTCAGTTTATTTTCTGAACCAACACCACAAGTTTAGAGAGGAAGAAGGGGAACGCTTAAACTTGAAACAGCGTTCCACTCTTTTCTCACCTTGAAAATAATTGACAGAATTCTTTGAAAAAAAAACAGCCAAGTGCTCTCTCCCTTCCCTTCTCATTCTTGGCCAACACAGTCCGTACGAGAAGGGGAGGGGAGCCATAACCTGGGAACCTTATTCCATTTTAAGGAAGCGTAAGACCGTCTAAAGTTAATTTAAAGAATAAATTAATAACCACATAAAAAACCTTGTCCGTTGCTTCCGCTTCTTCCAGTTGCTCCGCGAGCGGCCTCGCCAGTTTGTCCGGATGATTCACACCAGTGACTACAGGAATAAAATACAAATCCGCCGGAACATCTTTCCTTCTTCCTACAGTTTATTCCGCGGCCGCCTCGTCCTCCTAAACCACCTGAAAACAATCTTTCAATTTATCAAACTATTCGTTGCTCAGTCAATGCTTCTGCATTGTTTCCTCGTGCAAAATTTTATTAATTAAGAATTTCTGAGTCCTCACCGGCTCCTCCTAATCCGTTTATTGCCGCCTGCCCTCCAAACCCACGACAAGATGTTAATTCGACATACCCTCTCACTTTCAAAACATGAAGAGTTTGACGACCTGCATTACCACCATTTCCTGTTGTTAAGTTCAATAAATAAATAAATAAATAGGCGAGGGACATAAGTAAATGTAGTACATTTAAGTGGTGATTACTACTGTTTATAACATAATAAATTCGTGTACAAGTAATGAAAGTCAACAGAGCGATTGCCTCAGTTTTCCGCTAGGCGCGGGGTACACTAAAAACGTGCGTGTGCATGGCTGGGGAACTACCATATAAGGCATATTCCACTGCTGTGTGGAAAATGCAATCAAACAATAACTTCATGCATCAGCTTTGTGTTAATCTAGATATGAAGCCCTTCAGAAGATTGGAGAGTACTTAAGAGGCTGGAATCAATTGCTTGAAGAGCGGTCAACTCTAACGCATCTTTCGTGCTCTCCAAACCTCCGTCGTTTTCACCACATCTCATCAAACGCGAGCTGAACCATTTTTGATATGGCTAATTTGGTTTTAACAACTGAGTTGAAAATGGAAATTGACCACCGTGAAGAATTTCTAAAACTGTCGTTTCAAGCGTTAGCTGTTCATCATTCCCTCTGAAAAAGGACTAACATTCGAAACGTCAACTTTAGAAACTCTTTGCGGTAACCAATTTCTATTATCAACTAAGTTGATAACACCAAAATTAATTATCCTGTTAATCCCCAAACTGACGCAGCACTGCGATTTCTTGAGAAACTTACCCCCTTTAATCAACTCTTAAATAGACATTTTTGAATCAATAATCAGTAAAAGTAAAAAACTTGGGCAAGAAAATGATAATTAGAGTAAGAACGCATGGTTGCGGCGTCGAAAAAGGAAGTATTAGCGTTAATAACAATTTTTGGAAAATTAGGTGGATCTTTGGAAGCTCAAAAGAAAGAAATCGATTTATTCTATTATGGTTAGAATAAATTATTAAAGTTTCAGTTTTACCTGATCTCCCACCATCTCCGCCGTTTCCTCCATTTCCGCCTGATATACCTGGTATCCCTGCAATGTGACTAGTGCAGCCATACCTTGTTTCGTGTGCTTTGCAGTCAGAGTTTGTCCTGTCTGGTTGCTGTTTGAATAGTAAAGTTAGACCAAGTACTGATTGTCTATTGACATAAAACCTCCACTGTTAGAGTAAATTTTCGTTCAATCATCAATAGTGAACTTCCCCAGTCCCCTTCAGGTGATAAATTATGACCTTTGCCTTAGTTTTTCTATATCACGCGTATCAAATAACGATGATTATTGTAAGTATATTTTAAGTTTAAGTTTAAATCGGCAGCGAGGTTTTCACTTAGATTATAGAAGGTCGTGATGGTGATGAAAAATAATAATGAGAAATTGTTGGTGGTGAGCATTCCATTCTGACATGAGTTCATTTTAATTTCCTTCAATAAACAAACGTTGCCGAGGGTCACGTCCTTGAATGATGTACCTTGTGCATGCTGTCGGCTGCCTTTCTTCCATTCGCGCCATTTTGCCCCGGTTTTCCATTTCCGCCACTTGTTATGATATTTACATAGCCAGCCATCATTTTCGCGTAGACTGTGACTTTAGATGACAGAATAAAAAATAATGATAATAAGAACTTGCGTTGCATAATCCAAAATTCTGACAATTTGCGACCCCATTCTAGTGACTCTGTTGTAGAAGTAACGCCACTACAGTCAACCCAGTCGTGAAAGTGCGATCCCATCCTGCAGCACATCCCTACTAGCTTATTTCTAAGATGTACCCCTCGGGGATTTGGTACCTCTAGACCCCCACACAAATGATACTTGGTCCTGACCTACACAAGCCACATACGAAAAAGGGCAGAAGATAATAGCCTTAAATTTCTGGCAGTCCTTAACTCACCTGTTGGACCATGAACTCCATGCTTCCCATCGTCTCCATCGGTACCAGGAGACAGGATATTTAAATTTTGCACTAAGTTGGGAGCTCTGAGGTTCAGTTGACTGTCTTTCAAAAAGACCACCTTTCGGCTGAATATTGTCAACTTTTTTGTACCACGCAAGTCCACGTCACCCTATGGGAAATAAGCAGCGTATAATCCCTTACATGTATATCGAAACCGCCCTGAGGCAGTCAATGTTCTCTCAATTCAGAACTGTTCGTGCTCCATTTGGACATTCTGAATCGAAACACTTTTCGATTGGGTGTCATAAACCAAAACTAATTTAAATTGATCGCAACAGTCATTTATAAATGGCCTCCATTGCTACAATACGTTCTTCATCCAACTGTAATTCGTAGAGCTTGCGAAAACATCAAGTTTCAGTTTTACTGATCGAAACGCTTACCACCTGTTTACTACCCGAGGATGTTTTGTATCCAGCCATATTAATTTACGTTCGTTTTCTACGTTAATTATGTTTTTGAACCCATCATACTAAAAGTAAGGTGGGTTCCTGATGTTAAATTCTGCAATCAGTAACAATATAATCTGCGTTGAAGAAGTTTCATGTGTGGGGTGTCTAGTTTTTGTACAACACCCTTACATCGCCTTGGGCAGTAATTATAATTTAATGTTTATTGTTAAGAAGGTCACAAGTATACAAAACAGAACTTTGTTTGTGTTTTACCCGCTTGCCTCTTTACTAACTTGTCGTGCGCAACAGTCAACATCTGTTCGTGAGATCTCCCAGGTTTTGATCGTCACTGAACGTTAGGACTGGTACGAACTGACACAAACTGGGTATGAATTGTCTGACTTTAATACGATTCTATTGAGTACGGAAGGTTCTTGGGAACAAACGAAAGGGTACCACTAAAAAACCAAATTTCCCCCAGCCAAAGTTAAAATAAATTGTAAAAAAACCTACCTTAACATATACAGTATCAGCTAGAATTTCAAGCTCGATTCTATTGGCTCGCTCCTGGGTCTGTCCGAAGGCTACCTCTCTTTTTGTACGAAGATGCTCTTGAACGTAATCCATGTGGACATTCCGACCAAGTACTTGATAACGGTCTGTGATTTCAAGGCATTAAAAGAATGTGTTAATTGATCGAGGTTCTTTCTGATAATAACCATGTACCTTGTTATTTATCTCATCTCTATTAAGGACTAGTGATCACCTTGAGGAGGAGGGGTCAGGAGTAATTTGGGGGGGATATGTCGCCAACATAATGAACGGGTGACTACAGAAAATCGACTGCCAATGAGAGATGATCATAACAAAGTTAACGAGCCTTGGTTAGGGGGAGGGGGGGAGTCAGCTAAATTTGATCATGACCCAACCACCCACTTCCCCCTTCTCCCCCCCCCCCCCTCCCCCCTCTTCCCCTTACATAATGACTGGTCTCTTACCTGAGAGAACACAGCCGTAAAACTCGGTCCTCATGGAAATATGTTCATTCCACGATTTTGGTTTTATTTGGACATATCGAGCTGTGATTGGTTGCAACAAGACATGGGTAACCACGGTGTTCTGATCTGCATTACCAGTAAAAACCTGAAAAATAAAAGCAAACAATTCATGTGACTCCACATGGTATTTAGGTTAACTCCACAAAGACAATCACCGGCAAAAAAAATCGTAGTGAATTTCAAAAAAGAACGATGCAGGTACCGTTGGTAATGCTTTACGGCGATTGGCGCAATAGAACATCAACTCTCAGCTCTCCTCAAAACAATTCACAGCTGTTTTCACGGAGGAGAGTGAGACTGGCTGACTTAGCGATGAACGAATACTTAGAACCGCGGGGAAAGACCGCCAATTAGAATTGCTAAACAAACAGTTGCACTTTGGGAAAGTCAAACAGTTAGTTTGGCATCAATTAAAAGTTGATAAAGGTTGGTTAACCACCGTGGTGAATTTCAAAAAGTTGACGATTCGAATGGAAAACGTCAGAGATAATTTTACATGTAGTTGATAATCAATGAGAAGCCGGATGTGTTGCACATACAGACACAAAACTTGAAATAGAGATAAACAGACACGAAATGGTGATATATCTTATGAAATGTGACCCCCATCATTAAAACTAAATAAAAATTACATATAAATTGCAAAGCTCCCTACAGCCCTCGCTGCATAAGCTGCATTATTAAGGAAACCACAGCACCTTATCAACTTCATTCTCTTTATAGGCCTGAAGAACGTTACTGCCATCCGCACTGTAAGCGAAAGTATAACTTTTCACCCATTGGTTACCGTAGTCATTACGTCCCTGAGTCGCAAGCTTTGTAATTTTCACATTTCGTCCGAAATCGATTTGAAGCCACTGATTGAGATCATTGCTTCCCGCTGACCAGGCACTTGTTTTACCTCGGGCGGCTTGGCGGTTTAGTCGGGCGTTCTGTTTTCCGTGTGCCGTATCCCAGGAGGATGAAGCAGTAATCTGTTGATCAGTAATGAGACCGCTCTCTAGCCCAAGTGCTTCTTCGCCCGAACATGCTGATGAGAGAGTTCAAAATAAGAATTTAGGACAACGTATCGAGTTAATTTTGTAAGTAGACCAGGTTGCATTGGTTTTTAATGTTGATATTCTCTTGTTTTTGCTAAATTTTCATTCTGATTGGTGAGCGAGGAACCAGGCATTATGTATCGTCTAAGGTGGGAAGATTTTGGTTGTTTCACGATAAAACTTACCTGATCCCCCTTTTAAAGCTCTGTAACATTCTTATAACCCATCCACCCTCTCCCCCCCTCCCCCCCTCCTCCCCATTGGCAGTTAATTGACAGCCGATTTTCTGCAATCCCCATTTGTACTCCATTGACGATAACTGCCCCCCCTCAACTACTTCTAAAAACCATATGATCCCCTTAAATCCCCCAGCCCCAGCCCCAGCCCCAGCCCCACCCCCCTCACTGAACAAACCCTCGAAGATTTCGCCAAATTAAAGCTAATCACTTCTTCGTCTCCTCTCTGTTTCAGGAACTGTTTGTTTTCACCTTTTTTCTCATTGACTCAATAAGAAGTTGGCCTTTGTCATGACTGGGTGTTGTGATTCTTTTGTTCTTGGTTGTGAATCGACCGAAATCTGGTATTACAACCAAAAAGTTCATAAAGCGATGAATCATCTAGAGAAACAGAAACAGGATTTTTTTCCGAGACAAGCGTCAAGGTTAGAGAAAAAACAGAAATTAACTATTTTTACCAAATCAGAATTATGTTTTTCATCCATGAGATGAAAATACATAAAATAGCGTTAACAACTTAACCGCATATCGAAAGCTTTCAAAGGGAATGTCAGACAAATATATTTCGGGACTCTCAAATATGAAACGCCAAATTTGAAAAGCCAAACGGCTCAAAGCTATTTCTTGTTACCCATTACGTATTTAATGCTTTTATCAATACTGATCAGCTGAACGCCAACATCAAGTAATGACAATCAAATCCTTACGTAGGGAAGGTAAATATGGATGACAACAACAATTCATATATATGTTTGATAAATTCATTACCTGCTTCAAATTTAACAACTGCTGGTGTCTCAAACCAGTTCATTGGAGAGTATTTTACTGTCCCGCCAAAAGATTGATCCCCAATCCTCAATTGAGCACATCCTTCATCTACAAAATATAAACACAACTGTCTTTTTTAAAAACCGATGCTCTTGAAACTGTAATGAAATATCTTACAGCCGATACTGGAATATTTTTAACACTGATCCACAAATTTCAACTTAGATGCTATTCACTTCACATAGAAAGTCGCTCTCTAGTTCGACTACTGAAACAAACACTTAACAACCTCGTGGTCTCTGGTACACAATTCATATAAGAAACACTGCTCAGTCCTTCTCTTACAAAACATTTAATTTCAATCTCCCTTCTTAGAAAAGTACTGACATATTTCGTTTTTTAGATTCCAAAGAATTAAAACCAAATTTTCCAGAATTATTTTTAAATGTGCTGAAAACTCGTACTGCTGAACTGCTAAAGAGCAAACATTGAGGGCGATTTCTTAGGATATCTATGGCAGAGAGTCAAGAAAGTGCTGTGGCTTTGCTTTTGGGGCCATGGTACTAGCTCTGTTCCATAGATGCCTTTTTAGCACTAGTGAGAAATTTTCTTGCGGTTGGGTCGCTCTTCGAAATTTCAAATCGCGTTTCGGAAACTATAAAATCTTTTGCAAGTTCTTCTCATTGGAAGAAATGAAAGGTGTTTTGGAACAAACTTCTTTAATAATTAGCCAAGGATCACCCAATCAATCGATCAACCTGACCGACAAACAAACTAGCCACTCAACCGAGTATCGAAGCATCGAAGTACAGTGGAAATACCTTCCGTCAAGGTCCAGCCACCAGCCAAACAGTCAGCCAATGAGGTTTCAGTTGGTAAGAGTGATATCTTACGGACTTGGTGGCTGACCAATAAAATAAAGAGATGAACCCGCAAGAAGTCGATTTAAACATTAGGCAATCCTCTCAATGTAGTTGCTCACAACCACTTTAACATCAATAAATTTTATATCCTTTCAATAAGACACGTGTGTCTTTTAACTGCATTTTATTTTCTAGAATATGTAGCTCGATTAATGCATTTTTCATACTTTTGTATTATTTGTATTGACAAATGAGCTAAATACTTAGTCTAAGATTATTTTCTAGCTATCACTGCTCATAGTATATACTTTAATGTTTACAATAAACTCAATAATAAAATCAAAACTTATCAAAATCTACATACACGGCGAAACTGGTTGGTTTAGGAACCATCATAGCGATTGCTATGATGACCTTTAACTTATTATTTCAGGTATTGGAATGTTCCTCCAGCAACCTCTCTAGGCAGGTAGAGGAGATAAAAAGATCAAAAAAAAAAAATTAACTCGTTAGGAATGATATCGACTGCACTGGGAAAATTAAAACATTGTTAATTTTTTTTCTTTCTTTTCTTACTTAGTAACCTACTTTCCTTTTTTTTTTTTTTTTTTTTTTTTTGTTTTTTGTTTCCACTTTACTCTTTTTTCTGTGTAAATAAACACTATAGATGAACATGTACTCATTGAAAAATGTGGTAAATTTAAGAGAAAAAAGGAGTCGAGCTCAAACAGATAAAGCTAAGCAAACGTGAAAAATGACTTCTCTAAAAGATAAAATTAGATTTTGTGGAAAGGGTACCTAACCTATAACGTTGATGCTTTAAAAGAGATCATCAACTACTAGAATTTGAATGGCGGATGAATACTTTTGTTCATTCATAGAAACGAAGCTAGAAACTGACCTTCTCCACTTGTCAAATCCAAGATTGCGAGAAAAAGAAACCCCAACAGATTCTTGGAAGGATTCATGAAAATTCGTCTACTTCTTGACTCCGACTCTATTTCACAAAGTCTAATTAGTTTCTTTCGAAGTGCCACCCACTGCGACTTCAATAGTGAACTAAGACTGGTGATACTACTGACAACTACAATAAGTATCAGTTGAGTCACCAGAATTACAACAATAAAATAAAATTCTTCCCTGATTTATTTCTGGCAGGTTTTGTACGGGTGACACAAGCATATCCAAATTTGATAATAGTTCATTTACATCCTGAGAACCCGAGTTTCTTTCATCAAAATTATTTGACCTAACTGATACAATGTGGTATAGAAATAGCACAGTCATATATTTATAAACACTCATTTTTTGTGATGCCAGTCCGCGATACTTGTCCAGGAAGAGGGGAGGGGAGGAAAGGGTCCTGAAGAGCTATTGGCTTCCTAATCATCCTTTATCACATCTTCTCTGAACTGATTAGCGCCATACATAAACATTAGGACAAGGAAGGTTCGACAATTTGGATCTTAATGGCTAAATTCCTCTATTTCCACCTCTTAAGCTTCCCTTAGACAGAATCAATTATTTCAGCGAAGTTTAACCTCTACTGTAGGTTTTTATTGAGACATCCAAATTTCTCAACGCCTCTTCACTTGATTCCCCCAAAAATTTCATTTAGATGGTAAAACATTATGACAGAACTACCTATGAAAAAAATAATCTCGTTTTGTCATAATTGATACAAAATCGCTGGCAGATCGAAAATCGGTCTTATCCGGAAAAAATTTTAGAGTCGTTTCCTAGAAAGGGTTTTTTTATGAATGTATCTTATCAAAAGAGGACATAACTTTTTGTTGAGGCAATCCCCATTGAGTTATTCGAGAATCAAACTATCTTAGTCGTTTAGCATCTTAAAGTGAGTATGGCACCCAATATAGTACCTTACGGGAAGCTGTATTATTTTTGTTTGTTTGTTTGGCTTTTTGACTCCTTTAATTGGTTCCTTTGATTTGAAAGCGGGATTGAAGATCCCTTGTTTCCACCAAACGAGTGTGTAATAAAATCGACCATTTAAATATCGGAAAGAGGCCAGCCACCTGTCAGACAACCTGTCAGGATAGAAGCCAGAGGTGCCTAGTCAGTTCTCAGCTTGATTAGTATCATAACTGACTAATTTCGTGAATCGCAGCCTTATTCAACGATGTATTGAATTTCCAGAGCCCTCTTAACCTAAACTCAACATGAGTTAGAACCTATATTTATTTCAATTTTTTTCCTTCGAGACATTTTGACACTTAGCTTCATAAATATTTACCTGTTTTGTCACACCATAACCAAGAAGTTAAGGTTAAGATGTTTTTCATTCTGATACAAATACCACTCTTGACATCACGCTTTCGTGAGATGTATTATTAGTTTACCATGAGAGATGGAATCAATAATATCTGCAGACACAGGAATATTTTTTCTTTGTTTTTCATAAACAATGATAACCATCAAAGAAAGATGTCACTTGTCTCCTTTTCTTTTGTCTCAGGCTCGTTACAAGGTGAATATCATCTATCTTTCATCGCCTTACGAAATCAATATTTACTTATATCTTCTAAATTCTTTTTACTCATTTGATAACTATTACAAGTAAAATGGTTATTGTTAACTTTGTAGAGATGCTATCAATGATGGGAATATGTATTCTGATGTTCTAGCTGATTCTCACGAACTACTGGAAATGGTTTTCTCCCGGCTAAACCGATGCTACCAGTTTCTCTTAAGCTTTACAGTTTATCACAATTAAGTTAAACTTGCCTGATACTCAGGTTGTGATTTACATGCTTGTGATATGAAAATAATGTTTATAATGAAGAAAACTAAAGAAATTGAGAGTCAGTGTTATTTACTTGAGCCGTGTTCGCGTTTGAAACGGGATCCTTGCGTTAATTGTGCTCTCAATCATGCGGGTGACCACTTTGTTAGAGTGTATATAGAAGTCGGTTAACATTCTCTCTTTCCTTTGATAATACGCCGCACCAGTCAAAATAAATCGGCCCTAAAATTTTCCAGCTCCCGTGAATTCTTTGGAGCGAGCTGCTTCTTAATAATCTTGATGACCATTTTGTCGTATGGTAAATACCGATCAAAGAGTGCATGATATTTGATGATAAGCTGGTCCTAGAGCTTACAGGTCCTTGAGATGACA